AAAACTCTATATATATTAATTAATGTTAAGTTGATATGAAACAAGGATCCTTTAGTTTTGGTCATTTTGAATTGCTATGTTTTTTTATGAAAAAATTGAACTTCATTAATCTTAATCTACCAATTTATATAAAAAAGACAATTATTTATCATGTTGGATAAATGCAACAAAACAACAAAGCATACATATAAGGTTTTTATCAGATAATATAAAAGATATTAGAAAATAAGATATAAAAATTGTATTTTGCTTTGTCACAAAATAACAATATACTCATAAAATTGTATTTTTCAAATATATTAATTTTGGTTTTTGAATCATTATAAAATCTGATTTTTTTTTATCTATAAATAAACTAATGTTATACTTTTTAAAAGTTTTAATCGAACTCCGCACAAGGTGCGGGAAAACACCTAGTTATTATAATTAACAAAACCTAAAACCTAATTAGAAAGTTTGTTTATCGTCTCTTTACATTAGAAACAAGTTAACAAAGACGTGAATCATCATCATCCATCTGTTTTTGATAATCAATCGGTAAGAATTTGAATCAGATTTCTTATATATTTGTTTATTTTTATTTATATCAATCATTTGATTAATATTGATTATTACTTTTATCAGATCATGAAAAAAGTTTTTTTAAAAGAAAAACTGCTTTAACATCTAAAACTGAAAGCAATTTATATGACTTGTTATGGGATCTTGCTAAAAGAAAAAAGTTTTTGAAATATCTTCCAAATCAAAAAAGATGAAGTATGACTCAAATATACCGATAGAGATCTTTGTAAGCCCTATGGTCATCAATTTCCAAAAAAAAAATGATAGGAAAATCATTGAGAAGATTTAATCCAGCTTAGTTTGATCAATATGGTAATTGGCTTGAGTATAGTGTATTGAAAGACAAAGCCTTTTGTTTGTGTTGTTACTTGTTAAGAGATGATATTCAGAAACAAAGCAATAATGATTTGTTTTTGACAGAAGATTTTTCTAGTTGGATAAAATATGAGAGATTAGCTTCTCATGTGGATGCTTCGAATAGCTTTCACAATAATACTGTTAAGAAGTGTGGTTCTTTAAAGAAATTGATTATCTAGTCGGACAGACTAGCCCATGATGATGTGGTGAAAATGAATATCATATTCGGTTAAATGCTTCAATTGATGCTTCTAGATATTTTTTGCGACAGGGAATACATTTTCATGCTCATGATGAATCAGAAGAGTCTATTAATTAAGGGAAATTCTTACAACTTGTAAGATACATAACAGAACAGAATGAGGCTGTAAGTAAGATTTTTTTAGAGAATGCTCCTAAGAATAACTAAATGACTTCTCCACCAATTCAGAAAGATATTGTATATTGTTTTGCAGAAGGAGTTGTGAAATCTATTATAAAAATTTTGATCACGACGTTTTTGGTCTATTGATGGATGAATCTGCTGATGTTTCTCATAAGGAACAATTGACAGTTGTTTTCTGATTTTTCAATGAGACTGGAATGATCAAAGAAAGATTTATTGGTGTTGTTCACGTAAAAGAAACCTCTTTTCTATCACTCAAGCTAGTTATTGATGATTTGTTTGCTAAGTACGGATTGAGCTTGAAAAAATTAAGAGGTCAAGGCTATGATGGAGTGAGTAACATGAAATGTGAATTTAATGACCTTTGGTCTTTGATTTCAAGGGAAAACAGTTCAAGCGATTATGTTCATTGTTTTACTAATCGACTTCAATTGGTTGTAGTGGCAGTTGCGAAGAGACATTTTCAAATTGGTGATTTTTTTGATATGATTTCTATATTGTTGTATGTGGTTGGAGCTTGATGTAGGATTGGAAATGGACCAAAACTACTCCTTGGAATCTGATCTTCAAGCTGAATGTGGTGGAGGAATGACTTGGGGTTTTATAGTCAATGATGCTTGATGGCCCCAAACACCAAAGGTTAGACTCTTCTAACTTCAAGGGCTAATCCACGGAAGAGGTTAGGAGACACTACACGTTCTTATAAGCTTCTGAATCCCTCAAGAAACTTAGTACAAAACGCAGGAACACTTTGAATGCAAAAAAAAATTCTTTGAAAACAAATAACTTTGATTAATTTCTTGAATATTCTGAATATCAAATACAATGGAAATGAGCTTATATAATTCTCAGAAATAAGGTAGAAAAACGGTAACAAAAAGAATTAAAAGAAAAAGTATAATCTGATAAGAATAGCTTAAGTGATGGGATTTATGGTCTTCTAGTCGTTGTCATAATGGGAGGAATGAGAGCTTGATTTGTGGTGACGAAATGTGAGGATTCATTGACTGGTTTTGATGCTCAGGATGTGATTTAGTGAATGGATGTTCGAGATCTTCAAGTGATAAGAGATTCTGGTCTTGCTTTCCAAAGCTAGTAATGTAATCAAGCTCGGTTAAGGAAAGTAGCTTCTTCTTCTTGGTTTCTTCTTGAATTTGGGATTATTTCTTCTGGTTATTGGCGTGGTTTAGTGATTCTGAATGTCTTGAAATATCTCTTGGTGGTCGAATATAGTGATGGGGTGAATATAGTGTCATGAGTTCCCTCCTTTCCTTAGATAACTCCAATGTTGCTCCAATTGATGGTTTGAGGTGGTTTGGCGGTTCTGACTTGATTTGAGTGGGGTAACTCCGGTTTATAGATTCTATATCTTCATTATACTCCAAAGGTTGGTTGAATGATATGCTGGTAAGTGTAGTTTCCATAGATGACTCCTTAAATACGCATGTTGGTCCTTTCAAGAGCTTTGGTGGTTTAAATAGATTGCCTTGCTTCTTGAATTGAACCGGCTCGCCCTTGGATTGATTAAACTGGTCCTTTTGATGGTTAGAACGAATCAGCTGGTCCTATTGATGCTTAAAACGTTAGCGTTTCAAGGCAATATCTCCATTGCTTTCAGCTACAAGTTCTCCAATCTTCTCAGCTACAAGCTTGGCTCCTTCTGACTTAGCTTCAATGCTCATTCTCTTGACTGGTTCAGTTGTGTATGGTCTGATGCTTACATCAGAGCTTCTTGCAAGCAAAAAGATATGCTTCGAGAAAAATACCGAAAAAAAAGATAATATAAAAGGAATCAGTGATGGTGAAATTAACACTATTAAAGGGAAGAATCAAGAGTGTTCCCTTACAAGGTAGCAAATACTTGTTGGGGTTCACATCATAAGACATTGGTGCGTTTGGTCGAGTCAATTTTCAATAGTTATTGAGGTGCTCGAGTATATCCAAAACGAAGGCAGTGATGACTCAAAGAAACGTCAAGCTGCACATTTGATTGTGTGTTCTATATGCAGCTGATGTTGATTATTCTGGGACTAACTGAGAATATATCCATGGCTTTGCAAAAACAAAATCAAGACATATTGAATGATGTTTCATTAGTTCTACAAAGAGAGAACTACAGAAGCTTAGAGATGAGGGATGGGACTCACTTATGGTTAAAGTTTCTTCTTTTTGTGAGAAACATGAGATCGATATAATGATGATGGAAGACGAGTTTGTTGATTCAAGAAGGCCAAGAAAGAAAACTAACATAACTAATTTGCATCATTATAAGATCAATTGCTTCATTGTTTTCTGGATTTGCAGCTTCAGGAGTTTAATGATCGTTTTACAGAGGTAAACACTCAATTCCTTATTTGTATGTCTTCCTTTTGACAAAGATAAGTTGGTAAAGCTGGTTGAGTTCTATCCAGATGATTTTAGTATTTTTGAGTGTTCTTCTCTTGAGCAACAACTTGACATCTACATTGACAATATAAGAGGATGAACGATTTAATAATTTGGAGAGTTTTAGAAATTTTTCTCATGATGGAAACACAAAAACATTTTGCACACCCTCTTGTTTACAGACTTTTGAAATTAGCATTGATTTTACCAGTTGTTACGGCAACAATCGAAAGATGTTTCTCTACAATGAAGTTTGTGAAGGTAACCTCACGCAACAAAATTGGAGATTAGTTCTTAAGTGATTGTTTTGTTTGTTTTATTGAGAAAGAGTTGTTTGAATCAATTACAAATGACACAGTTATGAAAAAGTTTTCAAACCATAACTGAATAGAGTGTGTGTGGGCACTTCGGTTTATGGTTTGGTTTCGGTTCGGTTTTTTTTTGGGTTTTACGGTTTATCGGTTTTACGAAAATTCAAACCATATAAAAGCTATATATATTTCGGTTCGGTATGGTTTGATTTTTTACGGTTCGGTTTGATATGGTTTGGTTTCGATATTTTGGAATTAATACTATTACGAAAGTTTTTGATTCAAACTAATGGAAATAATAATAATAGATATGAGTGAAATAAAACAATAAATCCAAAAAATATAATCTAAATCATAAAAAATTCATCAATAAGGACAGATTTTACAACAGAGAAACAAACAAATTATCAAATCTTTCATAATCAATAATTATAAAACAATAAACAAATCTAGATTAAAATTTAATATCTATAACCTTGGAACTAGAACTAGAAGATTTGAATGTGAAGAAAAAAGAGTTAATCACGTTTTTTTTATTGAAAAATTAAGGTTTACTTTATTATTTATATGTAGATATTTTTTATAAATAAGCCATGAATAAATCATCTTATCACCATTTGTTATCCACTCACGAACTAATTATCCACTGATTAATTGTACCAAATACTAAGCTCCAGTATTCCTTTAATCAGCAACGTTAGTCTTATTTTAGTCTTGTTTTTATGTTTTTTTTTTCACTTCTTCTTTTTTTCTTTTAATCAAACAAGCAATTATATTATCTTACTCTGCATCAGAGGAGGAATTGTTCAAGGCCATAAAAACAGAATACGATATATAAACTGAAGATAGGAAAATATAACAAAGCCACCCACAACAGAATAGAAATCACAACAACAAAACGAAACAAAAACAAAACAAAACAAAAAAAACTAAAAGTCAGGTACCTTACACAGCAAGAAACATGAAAATAATTGCAAATAAGCATACAAACGAGTACAACGTTAAAGATGAAGGGAGGCGACTTCGTCTGCTTTCCATAGCCCTTCCTCGTACTTATACCATCTCATGATCCCTTCGTCCTCCTCCGTCCTCTGACACATCACACAAGTATCGCGCTCCATACAAGTTATGAATCGTTTCAGTTTCGAGGCCTTGTTCATTATCGTCTTGTCAAGCTCCTTAACAATGATCGTCTCCTGTCGCAGGAGGTAAGAATGAGAAATGTTGAGAACTTCGAGGCTTTCCATTTTATCCAAAATTGTTATGAGTGCATCTTGGTCTATGGAATTGCATCTGAGGCTGATGACTTTGAGATCCGGGAGGAGCTGCACGAGCACCTGGACGAAGGAGAGGTTTATTGGACCCATCACCTTGAGCTCTCTGAAATTCTTGCAGTTCATGGCTATCGATGAAAAGACAGAATACGGCTTCGAGATGCTTGGCATTGTCAGTGATTCTAGGCTCTTACAGCATTGTATGGCATTGGATAAACCCTTCTTCTTTATTCTGTTCCAAGCCGGTAGCACTAAACGTCTCAAGTTTGGACACCTTTATCAATATTAAGTAGAAAGATTCAATACAGTAAAACTTGAAACTATAAAATTTTATTAATTTATATACATATTATTTAGCTGATAAATTAATTTTATAACTGAAATATATATATTAATTTATCGAGTATTAGTTTGTACTAAAATACGTATAAGAAAATGGCAAAGAAAGTATATGTTTTGAAAATGAGATCGTGATAAGTGAATATTAATTACCTTATTGCGGTGTAAGTAAGCATGTAATCATTCAGAAACAAGTTGAAATGGACGATCATCGTCCTTGTGTTTCCCTTGCTAAGACTCATGGAGAGTTTCAAGAGCCGAGTCAGGTTCTCATCAGAGCGGCTCTCCACGTACACAAACGGCTTTTGTGGGACTTTGATGAAATTAGATTTCATGTGAGATAGATCGAGCGTGTTCCACAGAATGGGTTCACAGCAAGCCGCACGCCATTCTCTACAAACATGAGCTGATCCAGAGTTCACCAACTCTTGGAGGCTAAAACACTTTTGGAAAATCCTCAATAAGATGTCAATGTCCAGCTTCTCCGATCTAGTGACTACATTTACACGGTCTTCAGCCATTGTAGAAAGCTGAGAGAGTAAAAAAAAAAAAAAAAATCTTGAGAGAGTTGTTATAACATTTTTTTTTTGTTGAGAGAGTGGTAAAAGTGAAAGTAAGTAGTTAAAATAGGAATGGACTGATCAATAATCGACAAAATCAAGAGATGATCATATCAAATATGTTAAAACAACTCTCCATATAGGTAAAGCAATCTTCACAAGCCATAAAGTTTACAGGAGATACCAAATCACAGACTCAAACTCATGAGAACAAGCTAGCATTCTAAATAATCTTATTTAAAAAAAAAAACATTCTCAATAATAATATTTATAATTGCTAAGTGATTCTTTTTTGGTAAAAAAATTGCTAAGTGATTCGAACGGCACACAAAATTCTATAATTGTGACGAATCTAATTAGACACACACTAAACAAAGCGGTAGACTCAATGGAGAGACAGAACTGAGGTCAGTTTCATTTAAAAGATGCGGAGAATTCGAGCACAATCAATTTCGAAATCTCGTGATCATTCAATTTCTCCTAATTTTCTGTAAAACCTTACAACCATAAAACATAAAACATCGCAATCCATAAGAAAGAGAGTGTAAGAAAGCATACACAGAAACGAAACGAGGAGGAGGAAGAACTTGGTGATTCTTGTAGTTATGAAGGATCGTTGTTTGTTTAGTTTATATAGAAATGGAAGAAGAGCACTTGGTCTGAGTTCAATACCTCTATTATTATAACTCTGTTACCCAATTTCAACCAAGTCAACAAAACTTGCTTCATATTCATGTACTTTCTAATCAATTTTTATTCAATTCAAACATAAATATCCCAAAAATAACAATAATTGATAACAATAAATTACGCACCAAAATAACTATGCTTGGCAACAGTCAATTACGCGTCAAAAAATTCTAAATTAATTAAACTGCAATATATAATAATTTTGAATTTCTAAATTTTTAACTTATTACCTAAAAACATACTAAGTGATCAGTATGCACCGTGTGCAGGCGTACCAACCACCTCTCTGCTCTTAGAACATATAGAAATTTTGTTTTATAAATATAAATTATCTAATAACTAAAATTAAATTTAGTATGTAATCAAGGTTAACAAAATGTATGTACAACAAATGTATGCACGACAAGTTCGCATGCGACTTTGACTTTTGCATAATTTATATTTATATCCACACGTATATTTGTAAAAAAATCAAAGTATAGATTTCATGTGTGAAAAGAAAATAACAAAGTATATGTTTTGTAATATATATTTTTATAATGTAGGATTGAATTTCAAAAAAAATACGTATATTTATGCATGTAAGTATGAGTTATAATTTAGTGAGTTATAATTTAGTGAATTGTAATATTTAGATGTTGGTTAGTTTTTCTGATATTTTTCGTAAACATTATGTTTTTACATAATGCAGTTTTTAGCGTTTAACAACAATCGCAAAAATCACTTCTATCATTTTGTATTTAACCAAAATTTCTAATTTTTCAGCGTTTTATGATATATAGTTTTTAATAAAAAAATATAATAAATATTTAATATAAAATTTGTGAAATCGTATTTTAAAAAATTCTTCAGTAGCTCTCCGCTAATCTTTTCGTCAAAATTTTTATAGTCCGCAATCGCCCGCTTCTACAAACTCTTTGTAACTGCAGTGTTTATGTGTGTGATTTAAACTTATATGTGTGTGATTTAAGGTATAAAAATAATATATATACATATTTTTTTTTTCTTGGGCGTAGGACCTGTAATGTTTCATGTGCTTCAGTTGCTTCAAACCTGCTTGGTCTAAGCTCTGTCCTACTCCTCACCGGCGAAGAGGTACCGGAGATTTTATAAAATATGATTTCACAAATTTTATAATATTATTATTTTTTTTATTGAAAAATCATATATTAAAAAAATGCTGAAAAATAAGAAAGTTTGATTAAATATAAAACGAGAGAAGCGATTTTCGTGATTGTAGTTGTTAAACACCAAAAACGGCATCGTGTAAAGTTATAATGTTTGTAGAAAATATCAGAAAAACTAACCTACACCTAAACATTACAATTAATTTATTTTTAACATATACCTACATGCATAAATATATGTATTATTTAAAAACAAAAATCAACCATACATTATAAAAATATATATTACAAAACATATATTTTGTTATTTTCTTTTAACACATAAAAGTCATACCTTGATTTTTTCACTAGTATGTGTATAGATATAAATATTAATTGTGCAAAAGTCAAGTCGCATGCGAACTTGTCATGCATATAATTTGTTAACTTTGATTATAGTCTAATTTTCATTTTAGTTATTAGACAATTTATAGTTTTTTAAAAAATCTATAGGATAAGTAAAGATGACAAAATTGTTCGAGAGAAATTCTGAGATGCCACGTGGAGGTGTGTGATTCGTCCGGAATTTTCTATTATTTTTAGTTAAACTTATTTTTGTAAAATAAATAAATTACCACATTATTCATATAGTAAACAATATATAGATTTTTTACACATGTGTTATAATTAGATTTTTTTAAAAAAGTAAATATAAATTACTCAAATTAATAATAAACAAAAGTAAGATTAAAACTTTTTACATTGGAAATGAAGATATGTAGATTAATAGATAAATGATTCATACATAAAAAAAAAAACATAAATGCTAAAAAAGATTGTAAAAGTAGGAAACTTGATATAATTAACATTCATTTTAATGTATTTTTGGTTTAATATGGTTTTTAATAGAACCATATATATTAACCAAATAATATAAATAGGAAATACTCCAAAATGACCAAGAATGATAAAATAATGTGAAATGGGTACCCCGTTGAGGGAAAATTGTGAAAATGACCTTATTTTATAATTTTTTTAAATATCAGCGCTACCCTTCTAACTACTGTTATTGGCAGACTACTTGCAGAGTGAATGTAGACTACTGACAGACTGATTGGTCAAATAATTGAATGTAGACTACTGACAGACTAATGGTATACTAATTGCAAATTATTGGCAGATTAACAGAAGATTGAAAACAAACTAGTGCATTCCTATTATAAATCATTTTAGAAATGGTCATGTTTCGTAATAAAATTGTCAAGTATGTCATTTCAAAAATTATCCCTAATATATATACTTAAGGGTAATACAACTATATGGTCAAAGATTGGTAGTCAATTGAGTAAACAACAAGAGATATATGAAGGTGCAAACATGTAATTAATTAACCATCTATTTAACCTATTTTACCCTTCACATTTCTCATTCGCTTACTTGGTTTTTTTTTAAATTATTTTATTTTTTCTCAATTAAAAATGATACTCATGTTATTCCACTGAATATTTATTTGATTACAATAATTGTTTATCTTGTCTTTATCTATTTTCTATCCACCTCTTCATCTTTCTTCATCAATGTAATTCTTCTTCTCTTTTGGTACCTTCTGACCTCAATTTCTTTCCTTTCAACGACACCATCTCGGTGGCTCCAACAAGGCCAAGATGATCTCATTACCTATTTTCAATCTGACCACCACCGCCTCGGCCAAATTTTCACTCTCCACATCATTGGCATCGTTCTCGCTACTCGTCCACATGCATCTCCGATAACGGAAAATCATCTCAAAACAATCAATATACCATCAGATCTCGGGTTACAGAGCCATCAACTTTTCTGCTGAAACCTAACTTTTGAGATTCTCCATTTTTTTCCAAGTAAGATCTTATTCTCACACTCATTGTTGGCTTCTCAAGATCATATTCAATTGATCTTGCTCTATGGATTGATTAATTGAGCGATCGCTCTAATCCAACATTTCAAGCTATTACTTTGATCTTGTTCTCACATCTGTCAGATCTCAAATGTTTGTATATATCATATGTGTACACATATATGAAATCTCAGTTTATGTATGCTTACTTTACTTTTTACAAATCTATATTCTTTAATGGAGGTATATATTTTTATGTGAACATATATATATATATATAGCTTATATTGAATATATACCAGAACTTGTATGTTTATCTGATTTTATTGTATATCTAAATCACGATATAAAGTTCACATTTAAATAAATAAATTATTTTGGATAAATATTCATCTATCACCTTAGCTAGACCTTAAAAATACCATTTAAAATTATCTAGTTATCTGATTTCATTAGATATCTAAATCACAGTATAGAGTTCACATTCATATATGTACATCATCTCGGATAAATAGACATCCATCACCGCACTTAGATCTTATAAAACATTATTTAAACTTGTCTGTTTATCTGATAACTTTTTACTATCCTTTACTGCGCAGGTATGGCTACCAATGATCTCATGCATTGTCTATTTACCGATCATCATGAGCCAATGGGTGGCAGGGTCAACTCGTACTTTAAGCTTGAATCAATTGGTGCTGTTCTCAAAGCCCTCGCACCAGAGGAACTGAATGTCATCTGTCTGTGCTTTAGAAAGCTGCTTGGCTTGTACCATAAAACTGCTCCATCTGTGAAACTTGCCCACTTTCTTATAACTAGACAGCCTAACACTCTCAAAAAGCATGAGATTTGGTCTATATTCGGGGGGAAGCCAATCAAATCCTCTCTACGCGAGTTTGCGATTGTCACAGGGCTTAAATGTAGTTAGATATCTATAACATATTGTAAACTTAAAAGTAAATAGTTTTCCCTTTCATAGATGTAATTACCTATTATATTAAATAACACTCCAAAACAGCTGGTAATCGTCCCTTAATGTTAGTAGACAACTACAACATCTTGTACACTTACATTTAGTTTACTTTACTCATTTATCATTATAAACCCCCATCAGACACGTTGCAATATAAGTTATATGTGTACGTTTTTCTTTATACATAAAACCACCCATCATTTTGAATAACACTACAAACTATATAATAACCATCTATCAAAGTTAGTAGATAACTATTACTCTTTGTAGACTTACATTTAGTTTACGCTATTCATTTATAAACATACACCTCTATCATATCAAATAACATGCTACAATATAGTATATGTATATGTTTACCACATATATAATATGCACATTCACTCTCCAAGTTATCAGCTGACACTCCACAAACCTATGTGTACCCAAATATTTTTATTTTCCTGTCCCGTCCCTCGAAAATTCTTATTGTAGCATTACTATATCGCATTAACTACACATCACCTCAGACTATTTCATTCATACGTCAGGCGACGAGGAGAATATCTTGTCTCCTCATTTAATGTCGAACCGACAGTTATCTGATTTTGCTAACACCTCTCCTTACTTTATTCAGTTGTACATATTCAGTTTATTCACCATGATAACCACCCGCGGACGATGGCAGGAGATGTAATAAGTGGAACTGAATTTTTTTTTTGGCATCCTTTAGCCATTTCCTTCTAGCACATTACTCTCTTGTTGTTTTCTTAATAAAACCCTCAAACTTAGTCATCCACCTCTTTATCCCTATACTTAAATTGGATAAAAAAGTTGAAAATATTAGATCAAAGAGTCAAAATATAAAAAATAGTTAAATATATTGAAAGAATATAAAATGAATATATTAGTTTTGTTAAGAAAGTGAAATATTATAAAGTTTTAATTTATACAAACATACTAACTTGGTTAAAAATTTTTAATTTTTTTGTTAAGATATTATACAATAATTTAATCATACTTTTTGATATTAAAAAAAAAATTATTGGATCAAAAATTTAGTTTATAAATATTAACTGAATTATATATAATTTTAGTTACATTTTTAACAACATTAAAATGAAAAACAATATTTAATCTATTTTTATATAATTCATATGTATATTTATTATATAAAACAAAATTTTTAATAATTTAAATTTAAAAAAGTTTGATATTTTATGACTGTTCTTTACGGATTAACCTAATTATACAATTACATTGTATAAAAACTATTAAAATTGATTATAAAATCTTATAATCAATTTTGGTTTTTGCAATTTTATTAATAAAAAATTGTATTATTATCATAATGCTTTTGTAATTAACTAGTAATTTAATAATAAATCAATCTATTAATGTTTTTCCCTTTTTTGTTGCTAAAATGCATATATTAAATTTGATATATGATAACTATAAATCTAAATAAATCGTAAAAATTTTAAATCTAATCAATTAATTTAAAATAATTCAATAATTTATACTTTTTCCAAAATTTAGTATCTAATAAATACAGTATTATTTAACATTTAATATAATATATTTGTGTGAGTTTATTGGGAATTTATCAATAATTTTAATCAAAATAAAATCTATTATATTTTATATATGTTAATACTATAAGTGATTTAATTTATGCTGCACTCACTAATTTAATTTTGATACAAGTAATATCACTAATTACTAATCTATTAAGTAAAATTTGCTTCGATAATTTAGATATATATATATATATAAATATATATTCAAAGATTTTGAATATAAACGGTATTGGCACTTTTTCTAATAAGTCATCAATGTTTAAAATTTATTTAGAGTAAATACAATATATATGATAGGCAAACTTATATTTTAACTTACATCAATATTTTTATATAAGCTAATTTTAAAAAAAAAATTATATATCACATTATTTTCTATATAATCAATAACAGCAAACTTTGTTGTTATAAAAATTTTGGTTAGATGAGTATTGGTGATTTACTGACATTAATTTTATTACGAGTCTTTTAAAGTTACAGAGAATTAAATGGGAACCATATGATTTCTAAGTTTTACATAACTAATATGACTTATATTTTTGTCATGTATTTTTTCTTTTATCATATAATACATATTATTTTTTACCAGACTGATTACACAGATTTCTGATCAATGCGTATTGATAATATTCAAACGGTTCTGAATTCTAATTTATATTTTTATATGTATATTTATTAGAAAATGCTATTATATTTAAAAAAATATATTTTGATTAAATTGTTTTGGAGACAAATACTATTCTTTTCTTTTACAAAGAGAGATATTTATATTAAGTTATGGCTATTGTTATTGTTTCCAAATTAAAAACATAAAATTTGTATATTTCTTTAATTCATTCGATATAGTAGATAAGTAACAAACTATTTAACTAATAATATTTAATTATTATTCAAAAGTCAAAATTAATTAGATATATACACAAATATTATATACTTAAATCTTGAACATTAGTGGTAATGCTGAATCAAATCATCAATCACGGGATATAGATAATATATATGGCATTTTCATATTTTAAATCAGCTATATCATATACTATGCATGATACTTAATTTTAAATTAATTTACATAAAAATTAATTTATCCTATATTTCACAAAAAAAACTTAAAACTATATTTATCAATGTTATAGTATAATAATATCATATAAAACTTATATAAATTTAATAATATTATATTATATCATTTTAACTACCAAATTTGAATTAATTATAATTATTTTATCCTACAGAGGGTGCAAGTTATTTACCTAATAGCATAATATAGCATTAAAACTTATATACATTCTATATGTTATTTTAAAACACTTAATTCCTCTTCCAAATGCGGTTCTAATTGGTTTTAAATTTTTAGGTTTTAGAAAACAATTTTTATTTGAAATCAAATTATATATTGATCTGGTTGGGTTTTAAATAGCTCAGACTAGTTTTGTATAAGAGATAATAATGAAAATAAAAATAAGTAACTAAAGTTATATGATACTATAAATTTTTAAAGATATTTTATATATTTGATTAAAATATTATGTCATTGACAGATTTTGGTTAGTAGAGTCAATTACAATTATTTTTATATTCCATTCAGAGTAAAAATTTTGGTCGATTTCAGTTTGTAAATTTTGCCTAGTCCTGTTGTATTATTTTAATTTCATCTATTGGTGGTAATAGTATTCGGTATATGAAAGTTTTTTCTCAAAAAATAAAATATTTTTTTAATTTGTATAAGAAAGTTTTATTTGGTTAAATTTAGTTTTAAAAAATATTATTTAGAATTTTAGAGTAGTAGATAAAAGAACTTTAAACAAGAGAGGGATCAGATTAAATGAAAATTGGAGCTCCCAATTGTCGTAACAGGCTTTGAGCGGAACGCTCTTCACGCAATTATAGCGAGATTAAACCCATTCCTCATTTCCCCTTTACTTGCCTGAAGGATCATATTTATTATCATCACACCTCTTCTTCTTTTATAGGCCCACTCGTTATCACGCGTCTCTCCACACAACCGATGTGGGACGAACGAGACTAGTAAGTACTCACACAAATCTGAACTCTCCTTCTCTCGCTTTCCTAACCGGAAGTCTCTGACTGGTTAGGAGGGTTCCACGTTCCGGTTAATGATCACAAAGTACGAATCACTTGTGTTTTATAATTGTTGCACTCATTGTTTGTTTATACAAGTCTACAATTACAATGACTACTAAAAGCAAAAAATTATAGCAAGACGAGGTATTAACTATCAAATTCAAAGCTTCCACCATTCCATAAATACCAAATGTTACAATTTCGAAGTTTGGTGAAGTATAGATATTACAAATAGATTGGAGAACCCACATTTTTTATTGAGGCAAACCGGATGAGACCGGTTTAGGAGACAAACAAACAAAGAGGATTAAAAAAAATAGAATCTCAAAATCATGTGTGATATGAGTTTTGGAAAAAAGCTTTTGTGCTTATTTTCCCCTCATTAGAATGTCTAAAACGATAAATAATAACAACAAAAACAGAATTTTCCCTTCAAATATTTGTGAGACAAAAAAAAAAGTGGGATTCAACTTTTTTACCCATTATCCTTATTAACCATAGAAATTTAAAGAAAAAAAAAAACTGCTCTTCTCGGGCTTAGTTCACAACATCGAGAACAAGCTTACGGGATTTGAGAACAGACCATCTCAGTCTCCTGTAATATGCAGCTTGGAGTAGAGCCAAAGACAATAAAAAGATCCACTTGAAACCCATCTGCAAACACATACATAAAGAACAACTGTTTATAGCACGGCCAGTAACAGAGCAACAATACGCTCTGGATCATTGAAGTAGTTTAAGTTCATGTCTCATAATAGCAGATTAGTATCGAAACGACAGCTTAAACAATGGAATCATATAAAACAAAGAAACTTACCAATTTCCTCTCTTCCATTTCTGGTTCAGCTGCCCAGGACAAGAATGATACAACATCTTTACCCATCTGCACCATAATTGAAAAACAAAGCAGAGTTAAAGACTATTAACTCCATGAAATGTCTGTGATTCTTCTTCTATTAAGCAAAATAATATTAACCTGTGCTTCTGTTGCAGGAGTTCCATCTTCATATTCCACAGCTTCATCATTAAGCATCTTTGGCATAGCGATTGCTCCACCAGGGAAATAAGGATTGTAGTGTAACCCTTCTCTTATCTGTACCATTGTCACCAGACTCTTTGTTAATACACAACACTTTAAAAGTTGTAATAATAAGACTTATGTGAAAAAAAGGAGACAGAAATTTACCGAAATTCCAGCAGGAGGATCACGGTAACCAGTCAAAAGAGCAAAGACATAGTTTTGGCCATTGTGACGTGCCTGACAGAAAAGAGCAAAGCCATTTAGAATCACATAACATGAAGTTTTCAAAAAAGTATACAAACAGAGTGAAAGAGCAACAGACCTTAGTTATAAGACTTAGATCAGGTGGATAAGCTCCTCCATTGGCGAACCTTGCAGCTGACTCATTCGAGTATGGTTCAGGAAGCCGGTCACTGAGTTTACCGGGTCGGGTGAACATCTCACCCTCATCGTTTGGTCCATCAACAACCTCGATTTCAGCTGCCATTGCCTTTGCTTCTTCCTCTGTGTAAGCAACGCCCACCAAATCTCGGTATGAGATCAGAGACATCGAGTGGCAAGACGCACAGACTTGCTGATACACTTGGTGACCACGACGGATCCTGCTCATCATCAAACCAACCACAAATGATTTAACTATCTCTAATTTACAAAAGAAGAAGAATATCTGTGACAAAGAGTAGCTTGAAGACTCACGAAGCATGGTCGTATGAGCTGAGAATGCCATCATGTGGCCAAGGGTAGTTCGGAGACTCCAAGCCGTGTTCGGCCTCATCAGCAGATGCTATTGTAGAAAAACTCAACAATCCTGTAACACCAGCACCCATAAGGGCAAATGCTCTAAAACCAGCAGACCCAGCATCCTCACTAGCTTTCTTCGAAGAAAACCATGACAAGACCGGAGTTGCCTGTGGGATAACACAGATCAACAGTAAGAGAACACACACACAAAATGCAAAAGCAAAAAAAATTGCCAAGAATCAAAAGTCGATGACGCATATTCTTAAATAATCAAAAAGTCCCCATTTTTTCACCAACAATCACCTCCTTATCCTTCTTCCAAAAGGCTGGAGCTGGACTAAACTCCTCCAAAATAATATGAATAATTATTTAACAAGAATCTCTAAGAACACAAATCAAAACTCTTTCTTTTCACCAACAATCCCCTCCTTAACCTATCTAAAGGCTAGAGATGAACTAAAATTCCCCAATCTTATACTCCAGAATGTCATATACGCCAAAAAAAATTCTAGAAATTGTTCTCTACCATCCTAAAAGATTTCCTTTTCAAATAGATCCCAACCTGAAATCCCCAGATATAAAGAAAGCAAAAACAAACGAGAACAAAATCCAAATGTTTTGGAAGAGAAAAGAAAAAATCTCACGACTGATTGGGATTGAAGTTTCCTCCTTAGAAGCTGCTGGATAACTCCTCCTCCAACCATTTGATGAAACGCTTGTACCAATCAACTAGCTGAAGAAAAACAGAGACGAAAGCTTGAAACAGCGTAATCAATAGTGACGCAAATTCACATGCATACGAATATCACCAGATAGAAAAAGCGTAATAAGCCCCCGAGAAATTCGATTCTACATATTACAGATCCGACGACTATATATCCAGCAAACAAAAAAAAAATGAAGGAAAGTATCCACCGATTCGGATGCGAGATATACTGATCGGGAAAGAAAAAATCTCACCGGGAAATGAAGTAACAAGATCGGCGATTGACGACTATCGAGAGAGAAACAGATGCGCACACAGAAGGAAGAAGAAGTAAACAGATACCAGAGAAAATGGATGATTCCTCGACTGTCACAAACGACGCAACATCTTTAGGATTTTAAGGCCCATGGGCCTAATATTTGAGTCCATGACCCGTAATTAAATCAACGGACACCAAACAGAAATATTTGAAATATTCTTCGTATAGGTAAATTCCCAAGACCTGAAGTTTTTTTCTATTCCCAGCTTAAAGCTCCTTCGACATTTTTTTTTTCAAAGTAGATATTAATAAAGTCTTATCTTCGTTCAGGTATGTCACAAAAGAGATTGAATGATTTGGCTATTTTGTCTATTGAAAAGAGAGCTTAGTTAAAAGTGTTCACTTTGAAAAGCTTGGTTAATAATTTTGTAGAAAATAAGGTGTAATAACTCAAATTCGACCTAAAATCGAGTAGGAGTTTGTGGGTTTAAAGAGAGATCTTTATTAGATTAAAACCGGAGCTTTAGAGAATACACGGTGGTTTAGGTCGTCGGAATAAGAACGCCGACCTAAACTTTTTAGGAAAGTGAATCGAGAACTACAACAATGAGAGTTGTTTAGTTTGCCCTAGATCTCAAGAGAGGATTTTTGGATGTTTATTAATAAACAGCTGAACCTTGAGAAAGACTGCCTACGTACCCTTTTGAAGGAAGCTTCAATCGTAGTTTGTTATAAGAGAGTTAGATAGATGAAATCTAGAGAGAATAAGGTCTTCTCCAAGTGTGGGGATTCTTGGATGATTGGAAGATATTCTAAGAAGTGAATGACTTCTTTATTTATGGTCCGACGAGGTCGGTCTTCTGGAGATAACTTCTCCTATCGAAATAGGAAAACTTCCTTTTTGATAAGGCCGATCTTCCAATTTTTTCGGAACTTATCAGATAAATAGAAGATTTCCATTTATCTTGCCGGCCTAAATATTTTTTAGGTTTTTGAAGTGGGCCTATCTCAATTGATGTAGGATTTTTAGATGGGGTGCGAAATCCATCTCTAACATAAGGAAAGATAAATTATGTTTTAAATTTGACATTTTGTTTTTTATAGGCATGATAGTTATTATTCATTTTATATGAGTTTAGCATATTAATGAATTAAGACCTTTTTAACACCATTTTCAAATTTCTTTAGGTATAATAACTCTATCTACTTCTCTAAACACATAGATTTATTTTGACACTTTAATCGGTTTGTGGAATTGCATTGGACCTGTGTTTAGGAACACTCTCTCCACCTTTTTCATTTTCCTTAATTTTGTACAGATGAATGCTTTCATCGTTGTATTGTTTAAATTTACCATGTTAAAACCAAAGAAACGCCAAATATATAATCAATCATATTTCCCGTATCATGCAAATACACAAAGTCACAAATTATACCTGTATCAAGACAAATCAATATACATGCAAATTTGATAGACGTTGGTATTAGGCTAGTGAAGGCCTAATTAATCAGCTCGGCCCAAATCAAGTTTCAGGCCCAAGATCAGTTCAGCCCAAGATCAGCTCGGCTCAAGAAGAAGAAGCAGTTTTTGACCCAGATTCAAAACTAAAGCCCAGCGAAGTCAGATCGGCCCAAATACGTGAAAAAGCTTGACAAAGCCCATTTTGTCAGAAAGCCCACGAAACCCAGCAAAACCACCGTCCTAATTTTCTATAAATAGGATAGTACCCCAGTACAAAAATGACACTTTCTCTCCAAATTTTTCGAAATTATGCTCTAATTACGTGTCTAGCTTCCCATTTCTGTAGCTTCTCGCTTTGAAGAGGTTCTCGCTTTTGAAGTTCTCATTTTCGAGCTTCTCACTCGGGAATCCCTATTTGAAAATCTCATTTTTAGTACTTTTTCTTAGTCACGTTTTGTAATCGATCGGCTCGTATTATTAATAATAAAACGTATTACCCAAAGTTGGATGTAAGAACCAACAATAGATACGTACATACAGATAGATCATATGATACTTGAGCATATGTAATAGATACGTACATTCAGATTTATATTATGCGTATATATTCCTAAATGTGCTCTGACATGACAGCCTTTCCTATTTTGAAATGGAGGACACTTCATGCAATGTGATTGGTTGGTATGAGAAGGACCATGAGAGTCTTGAAATCAGGTAAAAACAACAGATGCTGTTTTAGCCTGATCATAGGACCCACGACACCCATAATCTCATAAGTAAATGAGAGAAATCAACCAATCAAATCACACGTCTTCAGTTTCCAGAATTATTGGGTGTTTGGATAACCATCCAATTAAAAAAATCAAATGGACCTATGTGGCTATGTGCATGGTTGTGTCATGTGGGAGAGAGATAATATGCTTACATTGGTTATAATTTAATTTTTATTTCTGTGTGTCTGCTTCGAGTTAAAATCAACAGATTTCGACCATACATTTTTTTTATAATGTACCATTCAAAGTTGTTTAATACGGAGAGCTTACTTAATGTAACTCGAATTTCAATACCCGTGTATAGGATTCGAGTCCAAGATATTTTATAGAAGATTTACAGTCATATTTATAAATAATTGCTGCTAATCTACCATGCCATTTATAGCTAGAAGTATTATCATGTAATACCTAAATATCTGGTATCCGTACATAGTTTATATTTTCATAAACTAAAAGTTGAAATAAACCAAAACGGAATAATCGAAGCGGATTGAACATCATCCTGTACAATGTTGTTTATATATAACTGTATTAAAGAGTGCATGTTTATTTAATTTTGTATACCACGTGAATATTGAGAACATGTAATACGAAATTACAATAAAGCTTTCTCTCGGATTACTGCATTTTGTACTTTAATTAGTCATATAAGATACAATATAGTTACAAAAATAGCATATACTATATATATTCGATTTCTAATAGTTTTATTTCAATTTTTTTTTTAACTTTTGAATTTTTGTTCAAACAGTCACGCATCAACTCAGCACGGTAGTCATCACAAATAAACAACATTGTTTCGAGCTTTTCTAATATCTTTCTTGGATTTGACCACTCACACATGGATCAACTCAAGCAACCGCACATAAATAAACGTATATTAATTCATAAACACCAACGCTAATAATATACTTGTAACTGATTAAATTAATACAAATTATGAGTTTGGTGTTTTGCAGCACGGGTTACAATACTCCCCAAAACTCATAGAATGCAAAAATATCAGCCCTACACGAGTCTAGCTAATATAATTTGCAGATTAGACGGGATTTTTGGTACTTCTTACCAAAGTATTTACTCTTAATTTAATCTATATAATATTTTTCTCTTCAATCTATGAAAGTTAAATATAGTGGATTTTTGCGATAAAGTATATAATTTTACACATGCATAGACGACTATACTTTTTTATTTTTCAAAAGTATGAGCTAGCATAAGGCAAGTATATGTCGACGACTAACAAACTTAATCCTAATCCGCCAATAAATTACACGAGCTACAATGACCCGTATATGTAGCCTGTATCGACACCTACTCTGATTGACATTTTTTTTTTTTTTGGTTTTATGATTGACATTATTTTACTAGTTAAGTGACGCTTTTAAATTATTATGATAAAATGCACATCATGCAAATCCTGAGATCACAAGATATGTTCGAAACATAGGATTTGGCTATATATAATCGTAGAATAAGAAACCAATATTTTATTATATATATAATCTTTCCATTTATCAGAAAATAAAATTAAAAAAAGAGACATAAGATAAGTGTAAATGCACATAACCATCCACTGATTCAAGTGTCTTCGTATGCTTGCCCTAGACACGTGGCGTTTTCCTATTCCCGAATGTTCATCTATTCGGCCACCGGAGAGACACAGAAAGAATATAGAGATAGAGAAAGAGAAAGAGAGAGAGTGAAGGGCTAAAGAGGTGAGGAGAGAGAGATGGATCAAGATCATGAGTTATGGAGGACGCTAAGATGCGCTGGTAAAGCGCAAGATAAGACCTCCGTTGATACTCTCATGCTTAAGTACCGTCCAATCGCTCCAAAGCCGACGACGACTGGTCAACCATTCGTCGGGGACACGAGCACAAGAAGGACGAAGAGAAAGTATGTTAGGGTTTCTAAAAACAACAAAGCCACGTGTCGATCAAAGAACGGCGTTAGATCTAGCTCAATAGATCCAGAGAGTGGCCGTGAAGATCTCGTGACGCTACAGCTCATGCCGGAGAGATCTACGCCGTTGAGTTTGGATCATCATAGTCTCGATCCAACGGTGAAAACACCAATCGGAGATGAAACCTTTCAAACCGGCAGGTGGCTCAAGTTTAACAGCGGAGATGACGCGGTGCGTCCGGTTACGGTGGAGACGTGGGTGACGGTGGAATCCGTTAACGGTGGCTCCGTTTCCCATGCGGTATGGTGTTCGGACGAAGAGGTCGCGGATGCTTTAGATAAAGACACGTGTCCTGGTTTTGTATCGGATGGTTCGAATCGTGTTGTGATGGTGAACGAGGCTTACCGGAGGATTGTAATCGGGGACGGTGGTTTGGAAAGAGAGTCGCCGTCGTCGTTGTTGCCGGAAGTGATTGTGTGGTTGGTGGTTGACCAAACGGCGACGTTTTCTGACTACCGAACTTTCACCTGTAAGGTGAGACTTGAGTACACGTGGCGAGAGACGAAGTATGTTAAAACGGTGCCGTGTGATGTTTGGAAGATGGGGTTTGGTGGATTTGCATGGAGGTTGGACACTACTGCTGCTCTAACTCTTTGGCTTTGAGTTAGGGGTATCGAGAGGGTAAAAATAATTAAGATCAAGATGTGGTTAAGGTTCATAATCTCAAACCTTAATCACTTTCTCCCACTTTGGTTAATTGAGAATTAATAAGTAATTAATAGTAATATAGAAGAGAAACGAACTTATATAATGTTAATATTGTATATGGAAAGATCCTGAGAATCAAGTCTTTCGGAATAAAATTGTGTGAGAACATTTTTTTTATAAAATGTGTGAGAACATTATATATATATTGTAAAATTCCATAATATTAATACTGATTGGCAACGCTTTAAACAAAAAAAATGTAAATGTCGGCTTTTTCATTGACATTAATAATTTCGATTGTGTTTAACAGGAATATAATTTTGTGTATGGTAAGATATCACGTTAATTTCATTGTACTGTGTATGTAAATTTGTACGTAATCTCCAATATATTACAGATCATTATGAAAACATATTTTAACAAATACGCAAACAATATGCATTGTAAGATCAAGCACATGTTATGCCAAATACATATAATATATGGTTGAATGAAATACATGAACTAGGGACACTATAGTAACATATATATGGATTCATGCACCTTTAGCCTACCATATTCGTATGTACAATATGGGTAAAGAGACGGATCCGATGTGTGTGTTTTAAGCACAGATAGCACGGTCCTGACACGTGTTCCTGTCTATAAATTATTGCACAACCTCATCTCATGGTATTGAGTCTCAATGTCTCATATATTTAAAGCTTTAATATACGTACACGGAGTATGTATATATACGAATTTTGATACATTAAAAAAAAAAAAAAATTGGATACTTGATTTTTCATGTTTTTTTCCAACATTTGATTTTCATGTTACGTAAGATATGCGAGTTCTTCGTCAGAATATTATCCAAGTTAGCAATTATATAATCTCATAAACCACTTGATAATATTTACCAAAAAAAATTCCAAAGTAACATTTACGTACGTAATTAAATCTTATGCTACTTACTTAAATACTCCAATATATATAGATGATATGTTATAGGGGAGATAATAGATGTGTCGACATGCCATACGCGCATGTTAGATGTTACCCATTCTGCAGTAGCCAATAATGATGATTAACATCACATCAAAAAATCTTCGTGGCTTTTGAATCCCAACATATGGAGAAATCTCATTGGCTAAGCAAAAAGAAACAAAATAATATAAAAAGCCAAAAAGATCTATCGAAGAGAGAGGGGGGAATAAATAAAGTGGTTTTAGAAAACTCAAACACGAAAAAGGAAATAAAAAGTACACGTGGCATCTCGACAGAGAAAGACATCACCCAATCAGCTTCCACGTTTTTTTTTGTTTTTTCCTTTCTGTTTAATTGTCGTTTTTTGAAAATTACTAACGTCATGCCATACCTGGGGAAGTTTTTAGTGTGGTCCCACTGTTCATAATCTCAGCCGTCCAAGTGTCACAGTTCGGTGAATCTGACCGTACGTTGATGTCACCTTCTTGTGACGCGGCTGGTGGAACTTTTAAAGAGGGATAGAATTTTCCGTTGACGAGAAACGAATAGGAGCCTATCACGTGGCTGTTTTTCTCGAAACAGCTACAAAATAATCTAGTACAGTATCGAATATTTTTATAAGCTGATACAGTAAAAAGAAAATTACTGTATTAGCTGAGATTATGAAGTTCGAAAATGTAGTTTTTATATCAATTTATGTAACACAAAAGAGAGAATTACTGAGATTTTATCCCAAACAAACTGGTTTAAGATCCGAGTACACGCAACATAAATTCTAGAGTTCAATTTTGTATCAATGGAATATAGTATAATACAATTCATGTTATTTGTATGAAAGACAAGTTACAGTAAATAATATAGAGATTGTTGCTATTTGTATACTCAAGTTGAGATGAAACTCTTAATTTGTTCAATAGGACGAAGAGTTATATATTGTTGAATGTACCTACCTAAAACAAGTTGAAAGACACTGCATGCTCTTGTACTTGCATGTTTGCGTTCTCTGTATGTAATTAGCTTTCGATTAATTTTGAAGATGAGCAAATCAAGTTTCTCAAATGTGGTTTATTGTGAATATATCCATAGTTTGTTGGTTTCATTATTGGAAATTCGCAAGTATTTCAGATTGTACGAAATCGATTAATTTGAGTTTACATTATATTTTTTCAATTTCACAGTCGATTGTGGTATTGAACTGAAAATCATTTAATGATAATATTTCAAAATCTTTAATGATTTTCTTTATTAATTAGAACTTTTGTTTAGAAGATAATGTTTTGTAGTAGATTGATTTGGTTCTTTCCTTTTCTAGTAGTTGTAAAAGCTTTCACAATTTTGCGTATCCGAAAGTTTAAACTTTCAAACATACCAATTTGTATTCTAACATATATAATTGTGTTTTAGTATTTTTTAATAGAATTGAGATCAAAATTGAAAAATATGAATTTGATAAATGCAGATTAACGCTTACTTTGATCAAATTATGAATATTCATAATGAATAAGAATATTAATACTAACAAATTATGAATATTCTTTTGTCTTATACCACACTTACCAACAAATTTGAATGCACACGGTACTGTAATTAAATTATACCCTAGTTAGTTCCTCCAGATTAGTCTCCCTAAGATAAGCTTTACCGCTTTTGTCATTGTATACTTAATTTAATTTGTTATGCAAGATCTAAAACTCTCAACTATTAAAACTAGACAAACCTCACAAAATAAATAAAAACTCCGAATTCTATGCTAGCATCTTTCTACGTAGACCTATCACAAGATTCAGAAATGAGAACAACAAAAACATTCACCTATCAGAAAATGGTCCTATAAAATAATATTTAAAATAATATAACAATATATGTGGTGGGGAAAAATTAAGAGTGACGCTATTGGTGGGAAGAAAGTCCACGTGGATTATTACTTTTCGTAGTGGTGGAATACATGGTCGCGACTGATTGGTCCAGCGATTTGAATGGACCAAAATCTCAATGCCCCCATCACGATAGATACGCTAACATCTATATCTTGTCGTGCTTTTTAAATTTTCAAAACTCAATTTCCTCTAAATTGTTTTCTTTTAAATAATTTTTTTTGTACTTGTTTGGCTCGATATAGTCCTGAACACGTGTGTGTATACGTATTACGCAGAAAACGTATCTATACACATCGATGTAACTATGTGGTGTAACTTTATTAAATTCATTAGGTCGTATATGAATCTAATATATAGTAGTATAAATTTATGTGGTATAACTTGATGAATCATCATCTATATAGTCCCTCATAGTTAATTATTCGAATCAAATTTTAAAGACTAACAAATAAAAACGAACAAATTTGAAAATATAATACCCACTCTATTTAACAAAGGGTGATATTTTGACACTTTATTTTTGTTCACAAAAATATTATTTTATATTTTCAATGTGATTTTTAAAATTAAATCTCAATTTTGTCCCTACTAATTATCTTAGCTTGTTAATTAGAGAAAGAATATGTTTAAATTAGTGTATTAACAAAGAGTATAATAAATATTTAATTTTTTTAAATTTATGTAAATATGAATTTTCTTGGAACTCTCCTACATATGTTTAAGCATCATTAATGTATTTAAAATGATGTAATTACATTACTGGAGTATTTTGTATACAGTCTTTTTAACTGTATAACATATATATGGTATAGTTATATCAAGCACAATTGACTTTAGCAGTTTCGATTTTTATAAACCACGTACTTCCAAGGATAGTTTTGTTTTTGGGTTACAACTTCATTAATTTAATGATATCATGCAGCTGATTACGGAGATTTGTTTATGTTTTTGCTACGAATGTAAATATCATTAGATGAAATGAAAGTTAGATTTTACAAAAAGCAAATCTAAGATCTGTACAACCTTGGCAAAAAAGAATAAAAACAAGGCAGTACTACTCATGAAACAAGAAAAGATCAAGTAATCCAAAGAGACATAAACCAAAGAGATCTGTTTATGTTCTCATAGAGACAAAAGAGAGTGATACTTCCAATTGTAGTAACATTTGCATCACGGTCTACGTAGTAGTAATTATATACAAAGCATATTTTCATATACACATATATATCTATATATATACAGTAGAACCTCTATAAATTAATACTCGATAAATTAATAATTATTATAAATTAATAATTTTTGCCGGTCTTAAGTCGGGCCAGGGTACAAATTAGCAAATTTCGATAAGATAATAAGATAATGATTTTTTTTGAAACTCTTATGTAAAAATATAGTCCCAATAATTAGATAAATTAATAATTATACATTAAAAAATATATGAATAATATAATATAATAAAATATAATTATATTATTGTTTCAAGTTTATAAAAATTGTTTGACTTATTTTTCAAATTCACTTATATGATATTTTCTGAATAATTGAAAATATTTTTTTGTTTTTTGACAAATATTTTGAATTTGAACGGAAATATCTCTCTATAAATTAATAAATTTTTTAAGTCCCAACATTATTAATTTATAGAGGTTTTACTGTATATATATAACCTTCTTTTGACGATATCATAAGTATATACACGCCTTCATCGTATATATTTCGGTTTATACGATTGCTGATTTGCATTATATGGATTACTTACTTTATATATATGGGCGGAGTATACGTACACACACATATATATAAACATGTGCAATCTTTATAAAAAAAATTTTGGTATGAGAATCTTTATAATTCAGTTTAAGTAAACATAATACTTGGTATATATGGATGTTCATTTCATTACATCGTTTTGGTTTACTACATTGATACATATGGAAATTGTGCGCCAACGATTCGTGTATAAAGTTGATGTTGTCAACAAATATATATGTTAAAACGCATATTGTTGATGAAGGGACCCATAAATATGGAACTAATCAACAAATCACTTATCCTCATATGCTAAAGGCTTGCCCTAGCCACGTGTTCATATCCTTACTTTCCTCTCCTATGTCTCATTACATATACTCTCAACCTATAACTTTTTGCCCGTCCTTTTAATATCCTTTTTTTTTAATACCAAACACCATAAAAATTTAACCCTATCGCCTAGAGAGCAAGATCAAGGCAGGTTCAAGTCCGGTCAAGTCATGGAAGACGACGGAAAGCGGCCGCAATCTTCTATTTGCGATCAGGACAATACTGTTATAAGCAAGATAATGCAACGGTTTCGTCCGATCGCACCAAAACCAACTGTCGGTGAATCTTCTGACGATACAAGAAGCTGTAGATCTCTTGGAAGAAACAGAAGATCTAAAAGAAAGTATGTTAGGGTTCGGAATAAAAACGTTAGTAGTGGTAGGATTATTAGTAAAATGAATGGTCGCGATGGAGAGAGCATAAAAACAGATCTTGATAAAGAGACTAATGGTAATGATAGAAGCGATATAGTCACGCTTCAGTTGCTACCGGAGAAGGATAGAGATCTAAGAAGTAATGAAGATCAAGATGGTGAGGATGGTTCGCTCGTAGGGCTGCCGTCATCGTTAGATCGAACGGTGATGGAGTCGTGGTTGACGGTGGAGTGTGTTAGTGACACGTGTACTGACTTGGGAGGGTATAACATCCTGGAGCTAGGTAAAATGGGTCAGGCAGAGGAGAGAGTAATGAAGATGTTAGAGGTTGACACGTGTCCTTGGTTAGTTTCGGATGAGTGGAACCGGGTCTATTGGATAAACCGGGCGTACCGGAGAATGATGGGAGATCCGGATGCGGAGATGAATATCAAAGTGTGGTTGGTGGTGGCGATGGAGCTTATGGAGGAGATGGCGTGCATGGTGGAGTTATACGGTGTGGTGACATGCAGGGTAAGGGTTCGTTATGAGCCGTCCACTTGGAGGAAGGAGAAAGGTAAATCGGAGTCGGAGGTTAAGATGACGGTGCCGTGTGATGTATGGAGGACGGGATCAGGTGGGTTTGCTTGGAGGTTAGATGTTGAATCAGCTCTAAGACTCGGCAGGTAACTGATGAAAGCGGGAATGATACAAAACAGAACCATTGGTAAAATACACTAAGAACGCAATCTATACACTATATATAAATTAAACCAATATACATGTCATTCTAATCTATATACACTAACTTAGAGTTGTGATTATTTTGCATTAGCGTTGTATCTGACCCAGGGTTTTAATTAGGACTCTTGTATGAGAATATTTATATAATTTCACTATGGATTTTATTTATGTCGTATTTCAAATATATGATATATCTTGTTACCTTGATGTAAATGCCTTTTCACATAACCTTATAAAGAAAAATGTGTTGGCAAAAAGAATCTGACATGTGATTTGCATTTACTTAGGACTTGGGACTAGAATACTTCAAATGAATAGTGGAATAATATAAGATTTATTGGTAAAAAGTGCTTTTTCAGAATACTCATAAAACAATAACAATTATATTACAAATATTTAAAATTCAATTATCATTTTGATAGAAACAGAGTATAGCAGAATGTTTAATTAGAAATGTGAAAACGCGAAGGACATACAATGTTTTCATCCAGTCGTATATAAATTTTTGTTTATGAATCATAATTTTCTTGTTTAGTTTTAAAAGGTCCGCGTTTCAAAATTGTTTTCCTCGTTGTTGTTTATGTGAGTACATATAGTACAGGATATATATATATATATATACTAAAGAAAAGACATGTTGAAGAAATCATAAGTGAACAGATGGCATTTTTAGTTGGAAGAGAGGTCATAGAAAGGGCTGTCTTGGTTGGTCCTTGTCTATATATATATAAGGTTCTTTCTTTCTCTTCTTTTAACGACAAAACCCATGATTTATGGACTAACCTTACAGCTCACACATGCATATAGCATAAATTTTACTGGATCTAGCTTGTACTTAACTATATTATATATACACACTACATTTTTTATCTGTGTTGTGGAACATATGAATAACTGCTGTAACGATGTTGTTAATTATATTTATAGCCCAGAAAAATCTCTTATAGCTAGTAGATATTTAGAAATTGTGCATATATAATTTACTATACGTAAACATTACTTTATAAATGTGTTCTATATATAATATTTTACATGATTATGTTGAACATTCTTTTCAGTTGTTATGAATCAATAAGCGCAACACGCGATATCCATATAGTCAGGAAAATTATGCAGCTAATTTTTTTTACAGATAGTTGATGACAAGATACGACGACATCATAACACTAACTGTTAATGGATCATGAAAACGCGAACAAAAAAAAAAAATCAATTTACAAGATCTTAATAAGAATTAAAAAATTTATACTAGTAAATATATTCAATTTTTTTTATTAAGTTTTAATCAATGCAAAACATTCATTTGGTGGTCGCCACCAAAGAGAGATTGGGTAAAGCTAAATATTCATGGAGCCTCGCATAGAAATTCCCGGCCTGCCTGACTACTGCAAGAGGAGATTTGAGAGCTGTAGAGGGAACTGATGTAGAGGTTTCTCTCTCAATATTGGATATGTTTAGCTCCACTGGGGGAACTGTGGAGCGTGTACTATGGCTTTTATATAGCCTTGGAACGATGGGTCTTACGATTGGAGATAGAAATGGATTCTGAGATATTGGTGGGCTTTTTATGGACAGAAATCAATGATTCGCATTTTCTGTCTTTCCTACTATGGTTGTGGTATGACTTTCTAGTAAGGGAATTAGTTAGTTTCGATTCATCATGTTTATATGAAAGCAAATCGTCTCACAGACGGATTAGCTAACTATGCTTTTTCTTTACCTCTTAGTTTTTATTTTTTTGTTACTATTCCTGATAGTGTTAAGTCGATTTTATCGGATGACACTCATAAATTTACAATGACTAGACATATATGTTTGCAGTTTCTTTGGTTTTAGTTGAATCAAATGAAAGAGAATTGTCTTCTGGATGCGTTAAAAAAAAATCAAAGCAAAACATTCAAAAACGATGTTTAGAAGTAAAAAAGTATAATTCCATGATAGATGATTCTCTCCAATAGTAATACCATCTAAGACCAATCCCAATGCAGATAATAATAAATTCTTAGTAATATAATTGAATTAAAAAATTAAGTAGAATGTTCAATTTTTTAGACAAAGATCTAAAATAAGATATTTTTATTAATTAAAAGAATCTACTCAAATATTAATAAATTAATCATTAAGACTCATACCCAATGGTGTTAAGGGTTGCTCTAAACCATTATTTTGAAATAATAAGAAATTCTTTTCAAATGATTTTCCAAAGTCGTGAATGAGATAGTGAATGACTGGGCTTTTAGTTATCGGGCTTCGATTGTAAGATGGGCTACGAGATTTGGGTACAATCCCAATGAGCTTCGATTCAGTTGCAGGAGCCGGTACGAAGGTTTGGGATCAAGCGCTTGTGCAAGAAAAGCCCATAGGGACGATTTCTTTTTTTTCTTTTTTTTTTGGTCAAACAGCTCATAGGAACGATTTCAAAATTGATTTCTTGAGGTATCTTGTAGATATACAGGATATGAAATCTCAATAATAATTTCATTTAATAATCATGGAAATAATTAATGGCTTCGAAGTGTATGAAATATCTATATTTTTTTTTTTGTCTTGAGAACACAAAGAATCAAAACTCACATAGAACCAAACACTTTGGAAACAGAAAAGAACGAAATATCTTGTTTCTTCTTCATATTTTTTGGCACAACAAATATATTGTTTTATATAAAAGATATATGAACACACAAAAATACAAACCCTAAAAGCTATTTCAAATTCAGACCTCAGACCACTGATTCCTCTATTTATGTCTCCTGTTGATCTTTTAAAGTTTTTCTCACACAAATATATAAAAGTAGAAATATGTTTCTTAACATTAGTCATATTACATTGCATTTACGAGTAAAACTTGTAATCCTTTGCTTGAATAACGATCGTCCTTAGCCCACCTATTGGCGACAAGACCATTAAGAAAAGACCAAACACGATACATACCTGCAATAAAACAACACAACAAAATTAATTTCACAAAATAGCTTCACAAAACGTAACCGCGTTTGGCAAACGCTAATAGTAATAATGTTGTTACTTACCCAGTTGGCCCACCAAGACAAGCTGTACTTCCTAGGTTTGTAGATGGCTAGCCAAATTATGCAAGGAAGCTGAAAAAAATAAAAGTATTCAAATTAGGCTAATTAATTCTAAGTGAGAAAAAAGCGTTTAGAAATCGCAATCTTACGAAGTATGTCGTTGGGGCAAACGCGAATCCTCCAAAGAACGCCAAAAGCCCGCCAAAGAACGGAAACGTCATACCAAGAAACATTGTTGCAGCTACATAACCAAAAAAGAGACCAAAATCAGATTTATGGATCAAGTAACACCACAATTTAAAGTTCTCAAAAATCATATAACTCTGAATATGATAAAAGCAAAATTCAATTAATTTTCTTACCAACATAGAAATTGCGGACACAGAACCGGAGAATTGTGGTCGGTCTGAAATTAAGCTTCTTAACCAATAAAGTTTCCATCATATCGAAAACCGGCATTGCATATATCTGCAACAAAACCAAAATTTGGTTTAGATTCAGTCAATTTCGCTTTTCTATACCAAAAGAAGAGTTTTTAAAAAAAGAAAAACCCGGTTAAAATTAACCGACCTGGTAACTACCAATGACGTGGATCACGACGAAGATGTTCGCCGTCGCTATTAACCAAGCCGGTTTCTTAAGTGACATGAGAATATTGTCTTCGACACCGTTCCCGAAAATATAGTATCCGACCATAGCCACCGGAAAATAACAAAGCGCGACGACGATGTAAGCGACGACGACTCCTCTCCACATCGGGCCTTTTGAAGGTTTCTCAGGAGTCGAAGGGATCGTTGCTTGGATCTCAAGGACCACGTTGTGTCCCGCGTAAGCGAACGCTACATCACCTAAACCACTGAAGAAATTGAAAACCGTACCGGCCGTTGATTTTGCTTTGTAACCGTATTGAACATCTTCTTGAACGCCTTTGCTCGCTGAAGCTGCCCATGCGATTGTTGAGTAGCTACATAGATCAAAACGAAATAGATTTAGAACCGGTTAATGAATTAGAGAAACCGGACTACAACAAACCGGAACAAAACTTGAATATAGTCCAAATGCAAACCGAGTCATTTTCCACACCGAACCAAACCTATATTCGGTTTAAATCTCCAAAATTTGGAGAGTTTAAAGTCTAGAGAGATTACATCAAACCGGAACTAACAGAGTAGCTTCAGATTCTATAGATGTTCATACCGGTTTATGTTTAACCGGTTAAAGTAATTACCTGAGAGACATAACGGCGGCGGCGAGAGAAACGCCGGAGATGGAATTGAAATTGGGGAGATGAGAGAGGACAAAGTGGACAGAAGCGAAGATCATGATGAAGTAAGTAAGTTTGATTGATTTGCAATCTTCGCAAACAAGCTCATGAAACTTCTTCAGCGATTTGCCTCCAGTGACCATATAAACGATGCAAACGCCGATTTCCACGATCAGCTGTTGCGGCACGACAATATAAAGACCGAGTTTTTCTCCAAACGCGTGTTGTCCAAGCTCGTGATAGCGATCGAAACGCTTCCCCGGAACCATCTCGTGCATCTCCACCATTTGCCATAGTGTGTATAGTGTTATGATCCATGAGAGAATCATTACTGCGACTCCTGGTCCCCTGAACAAATAAATTCAAAACCGGTTAAAATTTTGATAGTTCTGGTTAAAGTCAATAACCGGTTTGGATTTGGATATTTTACCAGCCAAGTTGAGACATGGCGTAAGGGAGGCCGAGAACTCCGGCACCGACCATGGCGGTGACATTGTGAAAAGCAGAGTACCACCATTTAGCATTTCTTGATGAAGTAATTGGTAACCAATCTTCGATTTCTTTTTGTCTCGCCAATTTCTCATCATCCTGTTTTTATTTCAACAAAATTCAATTGGAAGAAAAGTCAATTATTTTGTTATAATCGTGATTTTTGGGCTGAAAAAGCTAGATAAAAACTTATGAGGCAAAGAAAAATAAAGCAAAAATATAAGGGTCGGTTTTTTTAAAAGATCTATTGGTCTAAGATGGTTTTGGTTGGTAGCCCAACCTTAAAAGTTAGGAGTGGTTAAGATCTAACTCTACGCGCAAAAAGCAAAGAACAAGTTGAATCTCCCTTTCCATAAAATCAATGGAAGCTAAAAGTCAACGATTTAAAGTCGGTTGTTGAATTTAGATTTGTGGGTCTATAAAGTTACATATAATAACTTTTGGAGTGAAATGAAAACAAAGTAAAAGCATATGGGTGAAATTTAAAAGATCTCTTGGCTGTTTTTGACGGTGGCTTAGGTTGGTAGAGCAGTAGAAGTTCCCTAAACTCTGGAAAAAGTAAGAAACTGACCCATACTCTAAACTCTAGACTTACTAGAAAGAAGTTAATTCATGATTTTGGGTCTGTAGAGTTCGATATAATAGTTTCTGGGGCAAAGGAAAAATAAAGTGAAGTATAAGGGTATATATTGATAGATCTGTTGGCCTTTTTTGGACTAAGGTTTCCCTAAACTTTGGAAAAAGTCAGAAACTGACCCGTACGGTATCTTTAAAAGGTAAGATCTAAATATACGAACAGAAGAGTTTTTGTCCTGTAACTTGTAATAACTCAAATTATACAATTTGAAAATAAGAAAAATACAATTGTACCATTGAGCTATATTTTTATGCCTCTGGAAATTTATCTTACAGTAAACTAGTTTTGTCTTTTGAGTTCTTAAATTTTCTCTCCACCGAACAATTCGAATTTTTTTTTTTAAATCGAAAAATTGAAACGATGATGAATCTTTGAGAAAAGAAGGCGACAGAAGATCTCTGAAAGAAGAAAAAAATTTCTAAGAAATTTAGTAAGCGAGCTAAAAAAATATTGTATCATTGTTTATCATTTTTTTTGTTAAAAGGTTTTGTTGTTAATCATTTGAAAAAATACACTCCATTTCATTTTTAGTTTGTACCTGAGAAATAAAACTCAGAAGTCCATTTTCGTTTAACCAAAATTCAACAAACTCAAGATCTTAGCCACAATAAGGCAACGAATTAAACAAAGAGAGAGAGACTCACAATATTATCTTGAGGAGCTTCAGATACCATGGTGAGAGATTGAGGGGGAGAGAGAGAAATATGAGAGAAGAAGAGCTTAACAAGGTTTCACACTTTTGAGAGATATTATGACTAAATATATTAAGCTCCTCATGAAGATTATACACACTGACACATCTATATATATGCAGTTAATTAGTTTGAATATTAAGAGATAGAGAGAGAGGAGAGAGAGAGACTTAAAAAGTTGAAGTTTTTGTTTGACTTCACAAACTACTTGTGTGGAGATGGGCACAAGATTTATGAGCTGGAATCTGCTAATATATTTAACAAAGTAACAAATGACAATTCTAATCTTTGAAAGAAATACTTATTAAACAATCAAATATTACTCACCAGTTATTCATCCACAAAACTAACATAGTTTATTTGTGAAAATAATTCCACATAGTATCCCTAGTTTCGTTACGTAAGGCTAATTATATGAGAAGGGCATTTGCTTATTAATTTTATAAACTTTATCGGTCAATTTGAATAAATCAGCTGTGTATTTGGCAAAGCGTGAATAAATGATACATGAATGATAATATAATTGACGTCAAAAAAAAAAAGAATGATAATATAATTTACTGACTCATCAACGTATAAGCTTATATGTTTCTGCGCGCTGTATAAGTTATCTTTTATTGACTAAAAATCAAAGTGGGAGAAGAACGCCTTCCCTTTGTTCACACCTAAATATAGACGTCTTAATAATTGTCGTCAAATCATGAAAAAAATATAAACGCCAAAAATATACAAAGGAATATTTGCTATATAAAAATATTAGTTGACTAGTAGTTGTTATTTATTATTATAGATAGAGCCATAATTAATTTCATTGGGATTCGCTCGTCTATGTTACATAAACGCGATAAAGAGCGTTTAGAAAAGTTTTTAGCGCTGACCGCCGCCAACATGATACCAAACAGCCCATTACTAAACGTTATACTCCCTCTATTCCTAAATATATGATGTTTTAGATTTTTTACTTATTTCATTAAAATTGATGTTTTAATGTATTAAATATATATTTTTGCAAATTTTAAGAAAAGTAATTAAAACTATTTAAATCTTTACATTACTATTGATTAATAATTATTAAAAAGTAATAATTATTAAAAAGTAATGTACTAATAACTAAAAAGTAACTCTTCCTTAATTTATGTAAACAAACTAAAATATCATATTTTCTTTTCTGGAACAGAAGAAGTATAAAATTTGCTCTTTTTTTAAGTGAATAAATTCTGCTTTCTGTCAAACATGGAAATTTGATATTTATATTCAGACATCTGAGTCGTAGACTAAGCCATTTGATTTATTGCTTGTGGAAAAACATATTTATTGTTTTCATACTTCCATTTGAATGTGATTTTGAGAGATACACATCATCTTCCTCTTTTTTGGTCTGTGGATCTCTCTTTCAGAAACAAGACTACATCTCTCAAAATCAAATAAGTGTTTTCATAAGCTAGAGAGTTTGTTCCAAATTTTGAAAATTTTTTTTCAGAGAACTCATTTTGCCTATATAGTCTAAATTTTTATATTTTCTGATTTACACACATATATATATATATATATATCAATATCATGTGGCCATGTATACGTATTTCTCGGTTTGACGCAACCTTTTGAAGTCAATAATTTTTCGATTGTTTATAGCAGTTGATCAGTTTCAGTAGTATCATACAAATCATAATATTTATCTATTATTAGTAAATTCTCACACAAAAAAAAAAAATCAGATTTCTCAGCTACATATCCGTTTTCTTGGCATTTAAAATCACACTATTAGAAAAAATTATGTATTTGTTCAATTTCTCTTTTCTAAGTTTGAAAAGTTGGTCTGTTTCGTTTATATATAAAAATAATTGACTGGTATTAGTGTTTAAATTGTGAAGGAGGAGAGTTCATAGAAATATCGTAATGGTACGAACAGAGGAAGACTTGAGCGAAAATGATGAGTCAACGAAAAGAAGAGATAATGAAGTGTATGGTTCACTTATAACAATCTCTATTAAATTATTTTATCATTTCCTATAATATATGTCATGTTCTTGCTTTTCGGTCAAGTGGTTTCTTCCATTGACTTTTCTTTCTTTGTTGTTTTGTGTTAATTAGTTGGAATTTTTTTCACGGCTGTAACGGCTAGATGCCCATATTAGGTTTTTTTTTTTGTAAAATTACAATTCTTTATAAAACACTATAACAACGAAGGTAATGTGTATGTAAACAAATTATTTTTACTCTTGAATCTTGATCATTGATCAACATAGCTAAGACAATTAAGCCATCAACATTACATTTTAGAATTTTGAGGAAAAATCAAACCAATCGTGCGTTTAAAATTTGTTAGAAGAGTCTTAATCACATGAATATATGACGTGTATTTAGTGGATGAGTATTTATCGTCATTAAAATATTAACTACATTTCTTGTTATTTCTGTGAAATTTTGTTTTCACGAAAATTGACAACTACTTGATTCAATATTTTTACGGCATATTGTTGTCAATAGACCACACTAACAAGAGATTCCATCTAAACTCCTATATACATGTAGAATATCTTTATATGTCTATTATAGTGAAGTTATATCTCATGATTATCGTCCTATGCATGTGAGCATTTATGGATTACATGGCATGGACATGTTCATGTATTTATCCATTGAATTTTGTTTTCCGTTGCTTTCACAATTCATAATGCGGTGAACACGAGAACCCAAACATTTTGGCTATATATATAGAACACTAGTTAACCTCGAGCATTAATGACATCAACATATCCTGACAAGTGAGCTTCACTAAAAACTTCGAAAAACTTTGTTCTCTCTTCGAGAGCGCCTCTGTTGTGAAATCCCGAGATCCATCCATCGTTCTGTTTTACCTCCGCCTCTCATGGCTGGCCCTCCGGTCCGTCCGCCGCTTATTCCACCAGATCTTCTTTTCCTAAACAATTTCTCTGTTGCTGTGTCGGTCGCTCCTTCCGACCGACTTTTGGATACTGAGATGCTTGACAGCTATTCGCCGTCAAAATCCGCCATCTCCCCCCGTACTCCTGATGGATCGGTTCTGTCCCCATCGTTTTCAGCTCAAGCCCCTCCAATCGTGGCCTCCGCACAAGGAGTGTTGGTTTCGGACCTTTTTCCCCCAGTCAATTTGGACAAATATAAAACGTCTAGTCACCTGGGGGAATCATCATCTTCTTCTGGTGCCCTAAAATCTTTAAGGTCAACACCACATCCTGACCAAACGGGTGTGGAGTTCAGTTGGGCTGCTCACTTCAAATCGTCGGGAAAATACCCAAAAGCTGATGTTCCGGTCACTGTTTCGGCAGAGGGTCACCCTTGGGTCAAAATCCCAAATGCAGTGTTTGAAAGGGGCGCAAGGCTCCACTCAGACTACATTGTTGGGATTTTCTACGGCAATGCTCCAAGTTACGAAAAGATATGGGGTGTCCTAAACTACCTTTGGGGTAAGGATCAGAGAGTCACCATCCACAATCTCACAAAGAATGCTTTCCTGTTCCATATTCCGTCGGCATCTCTGCGAAGACGTATTCTTCAACATGAACTTTGGAGAGTAGGGGACTCACCCTTCTATGTAACTGAATGGAAATCTTCTTTCAGCTTAGACCCCCCATCTCTTCAACGGGCTCCTATCTGGGCTTCTATCCACAAAATCCCATTTGATCTTCTTACTGATGAGGGTCTCTCTTTCATCTCAAAGCCACTAGGGGTTATTGTTGACGCCAAACCTTTTTCTACTATCAGCTCGGTGGAAATAAAGGTCATTGTAAACCTCTCAACGCCATTGCCATCGACAGTTGAACTGGAGCGTGAGGATGGACGCATTGATCTTCTACAAGTTACATACCCATGGCTACCTCCTCTTTGCCCTCTATGCAGCAAAATAGGGCACAAAGCAACTCTTTGCCCAAACGCCCCCCCTCCCCAGAGCAAGAAGGAGGACTTTGTCAAGCCAAAGAAGCCCGTTCGAAAGTACCAGGAGAAACAGAACGCAGAATCCGCTGCTAAAGCTGTTGCAGCTACACTGCCTTCCCAAGTACAAAACCCGACTGAATCCGGACTGGAAATGGAAACTCCTCTCCCATTTTGTCCTGTATCCCGGCCCGTTCTCGCTAAGCCTCAGGATAACAGCGTGGTCACAACTGCGACAATAGCACTAGAAAGTGCTCCGCGGGAAACAATACCAACCGCAACTGGATCACACACTGGCCACATTACAACAAAGGATGTTTCCTCATTGGGAGATCCCCTCCCTACTCCAACCTCTGCGGAGGCGAATGCAGGCCCTTCTTCTTCGGAAGCTAATACAGAGGGTCGGTTATTCTTGCTACCAAAACACATGTCCTCCGGAAAGATGAGGGCAGGGAAAGAAGCTCGGGAACAGCTTGAGATTGCCGCAAACCCCTTTGATCTGTTGAAGAAGGACCCGGAAAACATCGACCCAGATCACTCAGAAGCAGAAATGGCTCTCACCATCCATCAAGCTTCTACATTAGAGCACTCTTCAACTCCTCCCTCGTCGTCCTCGTTTAAGCAGCAGAAGAAGAAAAAGAGGAAGGTTCGGGAGAACTCTTTGTCACCAGCCGGTGGTAATCCCTTGGCAACAAGGGACACCCACCATAGCTAATTTCTCAATGGTAGACTCTTTTTTTTGGAACGTGCGTGGCATTAACGACACCTCAAAGCATCGCCCTCTTGCGACCTGGTTGAGAAACAAGCAAGCAACGTTTGGTGCCCTTTTGGAAACGCATGTTCGGGAATCGAATAAGGATCAGATTTTATCTTCGGTCGGACCGGAATGGTCCGTGTTATCAAACTACCAGCATTCGGAAACGGGTCGGATTTGGATTATATATAAGCAGCCTACCATCATTCAACACCTCTTCTCGGATCACCAATCAATCACATGCGACGTAAAGCTTGAGGATGGTATCTCATTTGTCTTCACTGCGGTTTATGCGTCAAACGATTTGTCGGAGAGGCAAAACCTTTGGACTAGTCTACGAGATACTCATATTTCTTTCGGTCTTACCTCGAAGCCATGGATTGTTGGGGGGGATTTTAATGAGATTCTGATGCCTGCGGAATCCTCAAATTATCGCCTTGTCTCCTCAACAGCTTCAATGCGAAGCTTTGCTGAATGTCTTTCAGACATCGGGGTTTCAGATCTTCCGTTTCAAGGACCAAGATTTACGTGGTCAAATAATCGTCCCTCAAACCCCATAGGAAGAAAGTTGGATCGGTGTTTAGTAAACGGCTCCTGGACCCTATCTTTCCCCTCAAGCCATTGCTCCTTCCTAGCACCGGAGTTCTCTGACCACTGTCCCTGCCATATAAAGCTTACAACGGACTCTCCAACCTTTGGATCGCGCCCGTTCAAGTTCTTTAACCTCTTGACGTCCCATCCAGCTTTTCTTTACTCTATCAAATCAGCGTGGGACGATCTGGGTGAGAGTGCTAAATCTCTTAAGGAGCTTTGCTATAAGATCAAAGGGCTCAAGAGACCCCTAAAAGCTCTGTTTAGAGAAAATTTTAGCGACATTGAGAAGAGAGAATGCGAGGCTCACCAACGTCTAAAATCTCTTCAGCTGCAAGCTCTGGATGACCCTTCTCCAGCTAATGTCCAGCTCGAGTCCTCTGCCCGCGATTCATGGGTTTCTCTGAGAATCGCTGAAGAAAGCTTTTTCCGTCAACGCTCAAGGATCAAATGGTTGGAGGCAGGGGATTTCAATACTCGCTTCTTTCACATGGTTATGAAAATGAGAAATGCATCTAACGCTATAAAATACCTCCTAAAGCCGGATGGTTCCAGAACTGGATCACTTGAGGAGGTGCATTTGTTAGCGGAATCTTATTTTCGGAACATCTTATGCAACAGAAAGGGAGCTTACTGTCCTTTTCTGCCTCTCTATCTGGATCGGCTCCTTCGGACAAAGTGCTCCTCAAATCAAACCCGGCACCTTTCTTCTCAAGTGCACGAGGAGGAAATCAGAAAGGCCCTCTTCCGGCTACCATTAAACAAAACACCGGGCCCCGACGGTTTTCCGGCAGAATTCTTTAGAGCTACTTGGATGATTCTTGGCCCTGAGATTGCTACGGTAGTAAAGGACTTCTTCTTGTCCTCCTTTATGCCGACCTCCTTGAATGCTACCTCCCTTGTTCTGATCCCGAAGAGGAGAGGTGCAGAAGAGTTAAAGGATTTTCGGCCAATCTCATGTCTGAACACAGTTTACAAAATCATATCTCGTATCCTTTCAGACCGGCTTAAGACAGTTCTGCCTTCAGTAATTGTTCCGAATCAAACAGCTTTTATCAAAGATAGATTACTGTTGGAGAATGTTCTTCTAGCGTCCGAGGTCCTTCAAGGCTACCACCTGGATTCTGTATCGCCTCGGATCGCCCTCAAAATCGACATCTCAAAGGCTTTCGATTCTATAAGATGGGACTTTATTCTCTCAACCCTTGCAGCATATCAGGTCCCACCATGCTTCATACAGTGGATTCGCGCCTGTATCTGCACACCTAGTTTCTCGATTAGCATCAACGGAGTAACGTCTGGTTATTTCAAGAGTCGATCGGGTTTACGGCAAGGAGACCCTCTCTCCCCAATCTTATTTGTGTTGGTGATGAATGTACTGTCTCTGATGCTCAACAAAGCGGCAGCAGATGGAATTTTCTCCTATCACCCTGGCTGCACGGAGCTACAGCTCACTCATCTCTCTTTTGCAGATGATCTCCTTATTTTTCTGGATGGATCGGAAGCTTCATTGGCCGGAGTATTTACGGTTCTTTCTCAGTTTGAAAAATACTCTGGTCTGTCAGTTAACATCCACAAAACATCAATGTTTTGTGCGAATATCAAACCAGACACGCTCTCTCGAATTCATCACCGGTTTGCTCTTTCTCCTACGGCCCTACCAGTCTGTTACTTGGGCCTTCCACTCTGCTCTAAGAAGCTCTCAGTGAAAGATTATGACCCCTTAATAACCCAGATTAGGCGAAAGGTGGGAAGCTGGGTTCACAAACGCCTGAGTCTCGCCGGAAGGCTACGCCTGATCTCCTCTATAGTATACGGGATTGTGGGTTTCTGGACGAAAGCTTTTATTCTGCCAAAGAAGATGATCGCAAAAATTAACAGTATGGCAGGATCTTTTCTGTGGCATGGCAAAGCTGAGGTGCAGACTGGTGCGAAGGTCTCTTGGCCTGCTGTGTGTTTCCCGATGCAAGAGGGAGGATTGGGGCTGCGGTCTTTAACATCATGGAATGAAACATGCGCCCTAAAACTAATATGGATGCTCTTCTTCAGGGGAGGCTCCATTTGGGTTGCTTGGATGAGAACAAAGTACCTTTCAAAGTTTTGCTTCTGGGCTTTAAAGGAGGACACGCCAGCGGTCTCTTGGATGTTCAGAAAACTTTTAAAGCTTTGCCACAAAGCAATCAGTTTTATCCAGATTCAAATTGGCAATGGGGATGACACTTTCTTTTGGTGGGATCCGTGGACGCCATTCGGCTCATTGATTCACTTTTTAGGTCCCATGGGACCTGCTACCATGGGCATTCCTCTCTTTTCTCTCGTAAGGGATTGCATTCAAAATGGAAACTGGAACCTCAGAGCAGCCAGGTCAGATCGACAGCTCCAGCTCCTTTCCTTCATCACTTCTCTTCAGCCTTCCCCTCTTAGCGACTCCACCATGTGGCTTATGCAAGAAAGAAACAAACGCTATTCGCTCTAAAAACCCTACAGTCTCGTGGTACTCTCTAGTGTGGCACAAAGTTGCGATTCCAAAACATGCAGCAGCTACTTGGCTTTTTATGCTTAACAGGAATCCTACCTTTGACCGGATGGTGGCTTGGGTATTAGATGTTGAAACCATATGCCTCCTATGCGGTTCGTCGTCCGAGTCGCAGAACCACCTGTTCTTTGACTGTCCCTTTTCAAACCGGGTTTGGTCAGCTCTTCTTCTAAAGCTAGACATCCTAAACGCTCCTACTTCTTGGGCTCAGATTATATCTTGGCTTCCTGCTGCTCTTCCACAACGGGATGCACAACTTGGTCTTCTTTTGCTCTGGCAAGCGAGTATCTATGAGCTGTGGAAAGAACGAAATCGAAGACTTCATCAAGGTTTGACTCTTCCACACTACAAGATTTTCAAAAAGATTGTCTACCTGATGAGAAATAAAACAATGGCGTTAAAAAATGTTTGTTCAAAGCACAGTGAGGCTTTGACGCTGCTCTGGTCTTAATCGAGCTAGTCAGATGTGGGTGAGACATCACGCTAGCTCTTTTCCGTTGGTCTTTCTCCGACATCTTCTCCACTCGTTGAAGTAGCTACTCCCTCAAATCCAAATGCTGATCCTCCTTTGTTTTATCATCTGATCTTTTCCCGATTCTTTGTAGTTTAAACTCTTTATTAATGAAAATCCTTTAACAAAAAAAAAAAATATATCCTATTTTTTTGTACATAAGAATCTGATCTGACCTGTTTCAACAATATTCAGAGAATTTTAGTATACTCCAGGTAACATCGAATGTGAGAAAGCTCAATCTTGAACTTAATTTTCAAAGTCCAAACTGTTTATTTTTTGGGGGTTAAAGTCCAAAATGATATTTTTGTCAAGCAACGTCCAAAATGTTTTTGACAACAAAAAACAAGAAGAGTTAACTGTTTTTTATTTTTTCTAATAAAAAAAGTCCAAAAGTGTTTTTCTTTTTTTTACGGGTTTTGTAAAAAGACTAAAATCTATGGTTGACAAGGAAAAAAAATTACTAAGGTAATAACTCTACTAGTGATCTTGGCCAATTTGGCCAAAAAGAAAAAAGAAAATACGATACCAGGTTGATCAATTAGAAAAGAACTTATCAAGACTTTCATGGAAAAGTATCTGTCACAAGAATTTGATAGTCATCTTTATTACGTGTATTTAGTGAAGGATTAGTATTTTGGTTTAGCTACAATTTCTTTCTCTGTAAAAAGTACACTATTTGATTTATAATGTTACTATACACATCGTTAGAAAGTAGAAATATACTACGCTATTATTAAAAAATGATCCAATGTAATACATATACTTCTTTAACAAAAACAGAGCTTATACAAGTTAGAGTTTTCTTTTCTTCATTAAAACTTATTTATAGCCAATCATTATCGCAATTTCAATTATTATTGATTACCGTAAACCCATTCAACAACAAGAAAACCCCTTTTTTAACACATATCTTATATATTAGTTTGAGTTTTTGGTTTACGATAACAAAAAAAAATCATCACCAATGGAAGTGGTCAACGAAACTATTAGATTAAAATCAACTGATTATATAATTGTCATTGACACCCAAATCAAATCAACACCATCTAGAGTTCCGATCTAAACATTGCTACATTACATAGTACCTTCTTATAATCTATTCTATAGATGTAAGCGTCTATGTTGATAATATACTTCCATAATTTCATATACTATATACTAGTCTGTAATAATAATGTTAATGTTAGGAAGTGTAGCTTAGTGGAGGAATATTATCTGCACTGAACGACAAATGTCAAGCATCTCAGTTATAATAATTAGTTTAACTTACACATGTTATTATGTTTTTTTTACAGCAATAATTATGTTTCTGTAATAGTTAATCTTAAAATTATAAATCCAATTAGCGGTAATTGGATTATAATAACAAAAAAGAATTTTATAATGATAAAAGATGATCACATGATTAAATTAATATTTTATATAATAATAATGTGAACACCTTATTATTGAAAAAATTATTATAAAGATTCATATTGATAAGCCCACATATCCGGTTCGAGTCAAAATGTTGAAAGAGTTCAATATAGATCTTCAAACTTACCTTTTTATTTTAATTAAATGAAATTTCTGGACTAATTGAAAGTGGCACACAATATTGAAGGATTTTTTATACAATCTGTAATAGTTTTCTTTGTTATATTCAAACCTGTACGAGATTCGACACCGAAACATTTGACATTTTCGATAACGTGCTGAAGTCACCGTGTGACTTTTTAAGTAAAACTCCGTCATTATTTTTCATAGTATTCGAGACGACTTAAAACATAGCTGACTCTTTAATTAATGAACACGTAATCATTTCAAGGATAAAAATAATTGGAATTTTTTTTTAAATAATTGGAATTATATATGCTTCAAGAGTTCAGATTCAATTTTGATTCTCATCATACCCAAAACCAGCTGTATTTAAAATATTTGTTTATATTTATCATCAAACTCCAATAAACCAGATTAACTAAAAATATTTCAGCGACTCATATATGAAAGAAGTGGTTGTTAGTCACAAAAAGATTTAATTTTGACATTTATGTTCCACTACTTTTACTGAAGTAATACTGTTTTCATATTTCTCCTGCCGCGATATTTGAAAAGTAGTATGCTTTTTGAGAATGTATAGATATTTTTTATCAGACGGCAAAGGATTTTATTTATTTGAATTCAAGTTTTTCATGCGACTCACATTTTGTTTACGAATGTTGACTTGTACCAAGTTTTATAGATTTGTGCTATCCAATTTGATCCGTTATTCGATTCAATCAAATAAATATTAAAAAATAATATTCGCAAGTAACAAAACAACGACCCACAAATAATTAAAATAAATTAGAAATTCAAATACATGTTTTGCCCTGGAAACATGCATGCATGTGTGCTATTACACAGTTACACGTAGTTCACAAACGTACATAGAAGACCTCTAATCGGCAAAATGACTGTTTGGGCTTATATTAATGGGCTTATATCCAATACTACTGGGCTATACACTTGGCCCATTAAAATTACTTCCCGTAGTAGTAGTTTCCAGAAATCATTTCATAAACCCTAACAAATTCTTTCTTCTCCAAGTCTCAATTTCTTCCACTCTTCGTTTCTTCTCGTCTCGAAGGTAATCAGAATCAAAAATGGGAAGCCAACAGGCAGCTGTTTCGTTCCTTTCCAATTTGGCGAAGGCGGCTTTCGGCCTGGGAACGGCGGTGACGGTGCTGAATTCGTCGCTTTTCACCGTTGACGGCGGAGAGAGAGCGGTGCTCTTCGATCGATTCAAGGGAGTAATGGATCAGACGGTCGGCGAAGGGACTCACTTCCTGATACCGTTTCTCCAGAAGCCTCACATCTTCGACATCCGCACGAAGCCTCACACATTCTCTTCAATCTCGGGTACGAAGGATCTCCAGATGGTCAATCTCACCCTTCGTGTTCTCTCTCGCCCTGAGGTACAACATCGTATACCGCTTCTTCCTCTTCATCTAATTTCGAACTAGACTTGCTTGATTCCCGCGGAAATCGAGGTTTTTCAGATTTTATCTGAGTTTGAATTTCATATTGGAATTTGATTTAAGGTTTAGGGTTTTGAAATTTCGATTTGAGGATACATATAGAAATGTAGTTAATCTGGGTATTGACATTCTTAACTCAAGCTCAATTCTTCCAAAGAAAGATCTTCTGGGTAACCACTTAGTATCTAAAAGAGATTGATTGCTTTGATCATATGAGAAATTTAGTATTTTTAGTATCTTTGTTGCTTAAATTAGTAAGTATCTATGCTGCTACTTGAATTAGTAAGTATTTTTCGAGTATTTGACTTTGTTTATGCGATTTTCAAGGTTATGCGTCTCCCATACATATTCCAAACACTGGGTGTAGAGTATGACGAGAAGGTTCTTCCTTCGATTGGAAACGAGGTGTTAAAAGCAGTGGTTGCACAGTTCAACGCCGACCAGCTCCTCACAGAGCGTCCTCACGTCTCGGCACTCGTTCGCGAGTCACTGATCAAACGCGCCAAGGACTTCAACATTGTGCTCGACGATGTCGCCATCACACACTTGTCCTACGGCGTGGAGTTCTCGAGAGCCGTTGAGCAGAAACAAGTGGCTCAGCAAGAAGCGGAGAGGTCGAAGTTTGTGGTGATGAAGGCTGATCAAGAGAGGAGAGCCGCGGTTATAAGAGCGGAAGGTGAGAGCGAAGCTGCTCAGCTGATCTCTGATGCTACGGCTAAGGCAGGGATGGGACTTATCGAGCTTAGGAGGATAGAGGCTTCGAGGGAGATTGCAGCCACGCTTGCTCGGTCTCCTAATGTGGCTTACTTGCCCGGTGGTCAGAGCATGCTCTTCTCTCTGAACCGTTGATCTTTGATCAGATATTAAAAAGGTATGTTATTATTAATCTTTGGAGAGTTATGATTTGTTGAATTAAAAAGGATTTTATTTATTGTGTGATTTGTTTGAATACTCTTTTGTGTTATTGTATCTGCAGGTTGTGGGGGAACATATATCTACACGATAATTGAATGATGAAGTTGTTAATCTGGATTGAATCAAAAGTGTTAAAGTGCTCTTTTTTTATAGAACTTTGTTCTTTCAATTATATATACCTTGTTTGAGAATTGAGATATTTAATTTACAAGAAATAAATCTGTCTTTTTTAATCCAAATTTCATTAAATTACCAAAGTACAGAAGGGATTACTAAATTTCATTTAAAAATGAATCTGTTTTTTTTCTATAGTAATAGTTGTAAACAAAAAATTAATAAATAATAAGCATTTGATCAAAAACAAAAAAAAATTAGTAAGCATTGTGGTGTATCGTATTTTTGTTGGATTCGTGAAAAATGGCCTTGACCTTATAAGAACACATGGATTAAATAAATAATAGGTCCAAAATGAGCTAATTGACTAGATTTTTCTGGCCAGTTGCAATTCAAATATATTATCATAATTTTCTGGCCCAATATGAGCTAATGTACTAGCGCTCATATAAATAGGCCCAATATAAGCTATTGTTTAAAATCAATTCAAATTACAGCCCCTAAAATTAGCTAATTAATTTAAGCAATTCAACATGTACTTTGTTCGCGTTGTTCTTTATAGTTTACACAGGCTCCGGTTTCTTCTCGGTGTTGTTCATCTTTTCTTTATTTAAATCAAAAGTATTCACTTTGGAGTTGAATGGTATAAACTTTTTCACGTTTTGAAAATGTGATTTCACTAAATACATATCATTCATAATATTAAACATTAAATGATAAAAAGTAAAAATTGACACGTTATTTTTTTAAACCATCCCGCACATTTTAAATTTATAACTAGTTTAAAGAAAAATTCATTCATCTAATAGATACTAGCTTTTTAGCGTTCTGAGTTTATTCAGTTTTCAGTTGACCCATTCTATTGATTCCGTTAGTTTATTATTCAGCTATTCTACTATTCTGCTATTAAATTGACATACCAGTCAAATCCTTTGTGTTTGGTGTGTTGAACTAATTAACACTTCATTTTTCTCAATTGCAGTTCAGAAACATTAATTTTTAAGATTTTCATCCCCAATAATTTTTTCTAAATTATGTATTTTTTTTTTAATTTTATTTCTACAAAGCTGCTTTGCAATTACTGGAACAAATGAGATCACAAGTGCAAAGATAAGACAAAGTCTCAAAGACTCAAAAGTGAATAGCACAAATACTTAGGTTCGCATACAAACTCGTGGAAAAAGATCACTGAAGGGTGTGTGTAACTTAACGTCTATACACATACATATACACGTGGATGCATGTATTGTGTATATATATATATCTGTTTATAACGTAGGAGGGATCCAAATATAGCCATGAGTTTGAAGGTAACCAGCTTTCTCTAGTAGCTGATCCGCTTCTTTCGGTCCTCGGCTTCCTGGTTTGTATGGTATTGACTTCACTTCTCCTTTGTCAATCCTGTGAAGCAACGGCGTGAAGATCTCCCACGCAACCTGTAACAATTAGAGTCGACACCTAAGTGAGATCCTAAATCATATGAAGAAATATTTGAGATGAAACAAATCTGAAATCTACCTTTAATTCGTCTCTGCGAACGAAATGTTGTTGATCGCCTTTGATTCTGCAGAGAGATGGGAAGAAAATGGTTGAAGATGATTAGCAACATGGAGGAAACAGAAACAAGACAATCTGGAAAAAAAAACGTTAGATAAATTGTTTTCTCACGTGTCGAGAATTAGGCGCTCGTATGCCTCTGGGATCGAGACACCTTGATAACGTTGTCCGTATGACAAGTCTAGTTCACTTTGCACGGTATGCATCTCTAGACCCGGTTGCTTAACCTGTGTAGCAAAAAGCATAATAGCCAAAAGAGACTCAGAGAGTGAATCTTTCCTTCTACTAGTTGTAGTAAAACTATGTTTGTATGTTTGTTTATTCATCAAATGCTTACAGTTAGTTTCATGTACATTGCCTCTGAAGGTTGCAAGCGTATCACAAACTCGTTCCTCCCTTGCTTCTGACCTGTTGCATGAGAGTACGTTTGAATTCGAAAAGCTAAAAGAAGAGGTTAAGCCATAGCCGAAAGAAAGTTTCAGAGCAAGACAATACATTTGAATATGTCGCCTGGAACATCCTTGAACTGAATTCGAATTTCTGCCTTTCTTGAGTTCAACGCTTTTCCGGCCTTTAGTATAAACGGGACACCTGAAAGATATGTACATCAATCAGCATGTCAACATGCACCAAATATAGAAATGGACTTTCGTATATAGGGAGCACCTCCTGAAGTGCATAGTTTACTTCATTGATGAATAATCATAACATGAACTAAACTAATGTCTTTTGTTTTTCTAAGGTGTTACAATGTGTTTTTAGATTCAAAAGAGTTGGTTTTGTGCACGAACAGAGGAGTAAAGCCACATTTATGATTATGAGAACATGAAGGGTGAAATTGCGCACGGTACCTTCCCATCTTTCATTGTGTATACGAAGAATTGTTGTGGCAAATGTGGGAGTATTTGATTCGTTTGGAACAGTAGGATCATCCCTATACCCTTCATATTGTCCAAGAACAACCTCTTCATCTTTTATTGGAACCACTGATTGAAGCACCTGAAGTTCATTAAATAAACACATGTTCCAAAAGCATATGAATCCAGAGAACAGAGGCAGAGAACGCTCATTGAAATGGCTAAAATTTGGTAAAAAATATTAGTCACCTTCACTTTCTCATCTCGGATGTGCTCGGGTTTAAGAGATATTGGTTTCTCCATGGCAACAAGACAAAGAACCTACAGTAATCTAAAGTCAGTTTATACATGAAATCATTTGCATTTGCAGAGAAACTCTGAGGAAAACAATCACATAGAGGTTCCGTTATCATGAAAAAATATCTCAGGTATACTTGCCTGAAGCAGATGGTTTTGAATAATATCACGGATGATTCTGTAAAACAGGAAGTGTACATTACATCAGACACGCACTGGTATCATTGATTTTATATGAAGAACAAGAAGATACTAAAGAAAGTACCCGTATTCATCAAAATATCCACCGCGCCCTTCAGTTCCGAAATCTTCCCTGAAAACAATCTGCAAGAAAATCATTTGAGATTTGATATGCATTCAACTCTAAATAACAGTGTGCAAGTTTCTGTCTAAGCTACAAAGCTCTCACCTGCACGTTCTCGATATTGTCACGGTTCCATAGAGGCAGAAAAAAGCGATTGGCAAATCGAAGGACCAACTGAAAGTGATGCATGGGATAAAATGATCACTGACTGTTTAAAAGAGTTAGCTTTATGATTAGGACTTAATAGCCAAGAATGTTACCATGTTTTGGACCAATTCCTTCCCAAGATAATGATCAATACGATAAATCTGTGATTCCTCAAACAACTCTCCAATCTGGGAACTCAGTTGCTCTGCAGACTCCAGATCCTTACCAAATGGCTTCTCAACAACAATCCGTGTCCATCCACCAAGATCAGCTGAAAGTCATGAGATAATATAAATACATAAATTGCAAAGCGACTGATCCTAGGTGAAAGGGACGCACATTTGTTCATGCAGCATGTCTTGATCATCTTGCATACAGAAGGATAAACAGAGGGTGGGAGTGCAAGGTAAAACAGTCTCCTAGAGGATCCTTCAGTACTGTTTTTGGAGATCTCATGCTCTGAGATTGCCCTGTCTAATTTCTCAAACCCCTCCTCAGAGTCATAAGGGCCACTCACATACTTAATCTACATCAATTAAGAACCAGAAACTCTTAGAAACAGGACACTTTTCGTGAAATCAACACCCAGAAAAAGAATAGACTAACCAGCTGTAGAAACTTTGCCAAAGCTTCTGCTTGCTCGGCATTCTTCTCATCAACAAGATATCTACATGAAACTATTCAATTCAAACTTGGTTCAACGAAAACAACTCAGTGCAGCACAATAAAAAAAACGGGTTAAAACTCACCCACGGATCCGATTTCTCAGCTCTTCATCAGAAATCTTGGTCCTCGCATAGCCAAATATATGAACTTCATCTGGATTAAGAAACCCCTGTGCTCATGCAGAAAACCAAAGATCACAACTCACACTCAAAAACATATACAGTAGCTGGTATGAATGAACTAACCTGACGGTATAGGTTGAAAAGCGCAGGAAAAGTCTTCTTCTTGGCAAGATCACCTGATGCACCAAGCACTATGATTGAAAGACAACCAGTTTCCAAAACTGTACCGTACTCCTTCACAATCGAATCATTCCTGAAAGTAGACCTTTTCTCAACGTGCCATTGACCAGATCCCATCTTCGAAAAAGCTTAAACAAAAAACCACAAAACGTCAGTCTCACAGTCACAACAAGAAGCCAACACACAACACTCAAACAAACTGTTTCCATCTAGCCAACACAACACAGTCATCGTCCTCTATAATCAAAAGCATGAACCATAAAAAAACTTTAGAAACTCGACAAAAAACAAAATAAAATTGTCACTCTCCGATCAAAGAAGCTTCATAAATTGAACATGCAAAAGGTTTCGTACTGGAATTGGAATATCAAAATCAAATTCCAGAAAAAACAAAATAAAAATTGTCATTGCCTCCTGTCAATCAAAAGAGAGATCACACACTTAAAATTATATGCATGGATCGAATTTCACTGCTTTCAGATTCATCTAAGCAAAAACACAGAGATCGAATTTCGAGTAGAATTATCATGTAATCGAAGTTTCCAGAGAGCAAAGAGAACACGATATCAAAACGGATCGCGGAAAAATCTCAGCTAAGTTACCACAGGACTACGATCATAGAGTGAGATCTGAAAAAGGAAAAATGGAGAAATGAATCAACCTGGGCAAGAAGAAAGCACGAGCAGAGAATCAGAAACCGGAGATAGAGAGAAGATTTGGTGGAGGAAACGAAGTAAGGATGGATATTAGGTGAAGAAGGAAAAGCTGAACAAACTACATAACAATGGAAGGGGTTGGTGGTTTCAGCTTCCGTCATATGATTTCATTTTCTGACTTTTTTTTAAAACTTTTTGGCATTTTCAGATTTTTAGTTATACGTACGGACGGAGAAGCCAATTTCCCAAAAAGAGAGACAAATCGAATCATTTTTTTTTTTTAACCAATTTAAACCGGGTTCGATATAATCAAACATAATGCTTAGTACTTAGCTAAACCGTTGATATAAGATTTATAAATGGTTGGGTGAATGGGTGGAAGCAAGCAGCTGGACAGAAGTCTCTTTTTACTTGCTCAAAAGATGATCGAAGTGGATGGTTGCGGGATCAATCCTGCTGGACTCAAGTCTCTTTCAAGCTGGATCAGTGGATGACATGAATAGATGGGTAGATCGAAAAACGCCACTCAAGGGTGTGAAAGCCCCTGTGATGAGTTCACAAACCTAGTCTCAAGACATCGCACACAAGAGACATAGATTCAAATATTTACTAGGTGAAGAATTCCATCTTGCTTAGATAAACAAAAACAAAGTCAAAGCTTTAGATAAAAATCTCTTTTAATTTTCAAAAATTTCTATATTTTTTTATAATGAGAACAATGGCTCTTACAAAGAATCTTTACAAATAAATATACTTAAATGAAATTATTTACATTTAAACAAAAAGAGAAAAATAAGCTAAATCAAATAAAAGTCTTCTTGGCACCAATTTCTCTTTAGACTTGAATGAGAATTCTCTGATTTTGTGAAATGATGAATGCCAGATTCTTATAATAAATCTACATAATGAAGATATTTGATTTAGTATTTTTCCATATTGTATCAACCGTGCAACAAAATGAAAAGAAACAACATGAAAAGAGAAGACGATAGAAAGTTGATATCAGCGATTATGCCATGTAAATCCAAGAAGCTAGAGCCATCTGTGATTGCTGATATCAACACATTGGAGTCTGATTTGAAGGAAATGCTCTTATAATTCAGTGAAACCAAGTGTATCATAAACAAAAACGAAATACTGCCTTCAATAAAAAAAAACACACACACACACTTGTGCACGCTCATGTTACCAAGTCAAAAAATCAATTATCAAAGTTGAAAAGTTGTAAAGTTGTTTTTCCTATATAGGTCATCTGCTAACGAAACCACCAAATGTTTACAGTAACTCACAAATAGCCCAATTTCATCAAAACATAACATCTGATCTTCATATCTTTAAGAAAAAAAAATTAAGCAAAGCATAACAAAAAAAAACACAAAATATAAACAAAACATAAACAAAATATAAGTAAAATATAAATATAAAAAAATCAGTATTTTTTTTTACTTATATGTTTTATAATCCGTTAAAACTTTCTTAAAAAACTCTGCCCAATAAATACAAAAATGCGTAAACTAAAGGAACGATTTTTAATAAGTCTATTGGGCTTTATTAAAAATGTGAATATGAAAAGAAATAGGCATAGATCCAAACAGATTAAGTGGTTATATCCTGAGACTCTTGTTTCTCAGAATACCATCGCACTACTAGTGATTCAAAGAGTTAAGGATAGAAATTATTAGTCTCGCCTCCACTTGTTCTTGCTCTCTTCCTTAACGTTTATTTATTATTGTTGTCCAATTGCTTCTTTACGTAGTGCTACAAAGTTTTGGTCTTACATAAATAACATAGTGAATTTTTTTTCATGAACCGTTTGACTGATCACCTAGCCATTTCTATAACATTAAATTCATTTTACCATTATATAATTAAGATTTAATGTTTTTGAAAGGCTTTTCAAGCGAGTTGTCACGGACTTGATATTTGGGATCAATTCCGTGCGGCCCTAGCCTCTCTTTGCCTCTGCAAATAGACTAGGCAGCCTGTCTCACAAAGAAGAACCTAACTCTTTAGGAAAGAACTTTGAAAGAAAGAAGGAAAATGCTTGAATAGCTCTCTTATTCAAGAATGAGTGGATGATTACAAATGAGGGATCCCACCCCTATTTATACAAAAACACCTCCAAGATGGATGGTGAGGATCAACTTGATCTAAGGGCCAATATTGAAGATATGGCCTTAATTACAAAATCAGTAACTAATGAGGGCGGATATGTAGGGATTTGGGCGGATTTGTAGGGATTGATGGGTTGACTAAGCAGATTCTTAGGGATTGCTTCTATCCTTATAAATGCCATCAAATCTTCTAGAAGTCCTTCCAAAGTCGTCCAAGATGATAACCTCATGTAGTTACTCGCTAGTCCGGCCCAAATAGATATTGTGCGGATTGGGCCGTGACATTCTCCCCCACCTAGTTCGGCAACGCCCTCGTTGCCGTGAATGCCTTGAGTTGGTCTGCGAACTGCCACAATTCGTTTTCCGGTTCCCATGTTGCCTCTGATAAGGGTTGTCCTTTCCATTTAATGAGAAAGTGAGTGCTTTGTGGGACTCCTCGTTTCCGAACCACCTTTGACTCGAGAACTTCTTCTATCTCCTTGTCGTAAGACTTGGTTACGATTGGTGGTGCTCGAGTTGACTGACCCCAGCCTTGATATGTATCGTCTCCATGGTACAGTTTGAGCATACTCACGTGGAAAACTGAATGAATCTTCAAGGTTGAGGGAAGATCCAACTTGTAAGAAACCTTGCCCACCTTGGCAATGACCTCGAAAGGTCCCTCATATTTGCGGATCAGTCCTTTGTGGAGACTCCGGAACGCCTTGAATTGTTGGGGAAGGAGTTTCACAAGTACTCGATCTCCAACTGTAAACTCCAAAGACCGCCCTTTCTCGTCAGCCCACTTCTTCATCCGTTTGCAGGACTTCTCCAAGCAGACCCGCGCAAGGTCAGCATGATCTTCCCATGTCCTAACCATCTTGGCCGCTCCAGGGCTTCGTGACTCGACTGCTGGTGTGGCCAAGGTATGGGGAGTTGACGGTTGTTGTCCGGTTGCGAGTTCGAAGGCACTCTTGCCTGTTGCTTCGCTTCGGTGCAAGTTGTAGGAAAACTGGGCGATGTCCAGCAACTTGGCCCAGTCCCGTTGATTTGCACTGACAAAGTGCCGAAGATAGCATTCCAACAAAGAATTCACCCTCTCCGTCTGACCATCTGACTGTGGGTGGAAGCTTGTTGAGAAGCTAAGTCCGGTCCTGAGATTCTTGAACAACTCGGTCCATAACTTCCCAGTAAATCATGGGTCTCGGTCACTCACGATGTTCCTTGGAAGTCCCCAGAGTTTGACTACGTTCTTGAAGAAGGCTCTCGCAGCTTCTTCCGCTGTGCAGTCTCTTGGACAAGCTATGAACGTCCCATACTTCGAGAACCGATCAATGACCACCAAAATTGACCCACATCCCTCAGACTTTGGTAAAGCGCTGATGAAGTCTAGGGAGACCGAGTCCCATGGTCGGTCTGGTATGGGAAGTGGCTCCAATAATTCGGCAGGTTGTCTAGTCTCTGTCTTGTCTTGTTGACACACAAGGCAAGTCTTGACATAGAGTTCCACCGTATCCCGCATCCGTGGCCAAAAATATGCGGTCTCTACAAGTGCTATGGTCCGCTTCTGCCTCGGATGTCCCGCCCATCGGGTATCGTGACACTCCCGGATAATATCCCGTTGCAAGCTCCCTGATTTTGGCACATAAAGGCGTCTCCCCTTTGTGTATAATAGCCCGTCTTCCACCCAGAATCGGGAAGTCTTGCCTTCCTCTGCCAACTTCACCAACTCTTTGGCAGTGGAATCTTGACTTAATCCCTCCCGGATTCGAGTCATGATTGTCCCCACAACTTGGCTGATTGCAGCAAGTTCGGCCTTCCGACTCAGTGCATCGGCTACAATATTCGCCTTCCCGGGCTTGAACTCCAGTGTATAGTCAAACTCTGCCAAGAAGTCCTGCCATCGAGCCTGCTTTGGGGATAACTTCTTCTGGGTCTGGAAGTAACTCGTTGCCACATTGTCTGTCTTGACTTGGAATGGAGATCCCAAGAGGTAGTGTCGCCAAACTCGTAAACAGTAAACCACAGCCGTCATCTCCTTCTCTTGGACTGTGTAGCGCTTTTCAGTGTCATTCAGTTTGCGACTTTCGAAGGCTATGAGATGTCCTTCTTGTATCAAGACTCCACCAATGGCAAAATCAGAAGCATCGGTTTGTACCTCGAATGGAAGACCAAAGTCAGGTAAGGCAAGAACAGGTTCTTGGCTCACTGCAGTCTTCAACTCTTCAAATGCTTCCTTGCACTGATCCGACCAGTCCCATGTCTTCTCCTTTTTGAGAAGGTCGGTCAGTGGTGCAGCCTTCTTCGAGTAACCCTCGATGAACCGTCGGTAATAGTTAACAAGGCCAAGAAAGGACCTTAACTCTGTTACCTTGGTTGGGGCTTCCCATTCAGTGATAGCCGTCACTTTGGGATAGTCCATCTTGATCTTCCCATACCCGATAACATGCCCCAAGAACTGCACCTCTTCTGTCGCAAATGTGCACTTCTCTCGCTTCACGAACAGCTGGTTATCGCGCAACACCTGGAAGACAGTTTGCAAGTGGCCCACATGTTCCTCCATGGAGCGGGAGTAGATGACAATGTCATCGAGGTAAGCCACAACAAACTGGTCCAGGTAGGGCTGGAAGATCTGGTTCATGAGAGTGCAGAATGTGGCTGGTGCGTTGGTGAGACCAAAGGGCATCACTAGCCACTCAAATGAACCATATCGGGTGATGCAGGTCGTTTTTGGCTCATCTCCTTCTGCCATACGAACCTGATAGTAACCTTTTTGGAGATCCATCTTTGTGTACACCTTGGCTCCACCAAGTCGGTCAAACAAATCCGCTATCAGGGGAATAGGATAGCGGTTTTTGACAGTTACCTTGTTAAGTGCCCGGTAGTCCACGCACATCCGTAAGGAGCCATCTTGCTTCTTTTGGAATAATACCGGTGCACCATAAGGAGCTTTCGACGGTCTCAGCATCCCAGTCGAAAGTAGTTCATCGAGTTGTTTCCAAAGTTCTGCTAGTTCGGATGGGGCCATGCGGTATGGTGCCATTGCGGGAGGCTTGGCTCCTACTTCCAACTCGATCTCGTGATCTACCTCCCTCCTTGGGGG